GGCATATGCTATCACACGCTTGACATTATCCTGATACTGGTATAGTATGGCCCCTAATCCCAATCCAGAGGCATCAGTGTGTAGAACAAAAGGTTTCGAAAAGTCGGGATAACTAACTATGGGTGGTCCGGTGAGACATGTCTTGAGCTCCTGAAAGGCGTCTTCTTGGTCCTCTTCCCATATCCATGGATGTAGATCCTGGTCCTGACTCTTACACTTCCGTCCTTTCTTCTTTTCAGGTGGTGTCATAATGTTGGTAAGAGGCCGGGCTATGCGGGAGAAATTCTTGATAAAGCGACGATAGTATCCAACAAATCCTAAGAACTTTCTCACTTCATCTGAATTCTCAGGACGTGGCCATGTTGTCACTTTCTCAATCTTCTCGGGATCCGGCTCTATTCCATGTTCTGAAACAATATGTCCCACATATTTTACCTTGCGACGGAATAAAGAACACTTGTCTGGTGCAAGTTTCATACCACAATCCTCTAAGCGTTTAAAAATCACTTCCAGGCGTTGTAGGTGCTCCTCAAAAGTTCCTGAGAAAATGATCACATCATCGATGTAAACAAAGCAAATCTTTGTATGCAGTCCCTGCAATGCCTCTTCCATCAGCCGTTGATATGTTGCAGGGGCATTCGCCAATCCAAAGGGCATACGGGTGTACTCATAGAACCCTAACGGTCCTACAGTAAAGGCTGTACGGTCCTTATGTTCTGGATACAGTTCTACCTGGTGATATCCAGACTTCATATCCACAACTGAGAAGAATTTATTACCAGCAAGCGAGTCCAATGTCTCATCTATGCGTGGTAAGGCATACGCGTCTTTTACAGTCCTCTCATTTAATTGACGATAGTCAACACAAAGGCGGAGCTTTCCATTCTTCTTTCGAACAAGTACAACGTTTTATGACCATGGGGAATGTGAGCAACGTATGACTCCAGCAGCAAGTAACTGATGAAGATGTGTCCTTACTTCATCAAACATTGACGGCGGAATGCGTCGACATCTCTGTTTGAAGGGTATTTCATTCGTAAGTTCAATCCTGTGGGTCACTAACGATGCATGTCCTATATCTGTATCACCAGTAGAGAAGATATGGCGATGTTGCTCTAAGAATTTCCTCCCTTTAGAAATCTCATCTTCTGACAATCCCTCTGTGCAAAGCTCTACCTTCTCCAGTACATCCACTGAAGAATTCACATCTATCTCCTTGGTGATATCCTCCACTGTAATAGGCTGCATCTCACAGAGAAGAGCTCGGGGTTGTATAGTCACTGTGGATGTGGATAAGTTTGTGACGTGGACCTTGACAATTCCCTTCCTATCGTAATGGTAAGGAANGCACAGAAATAAACAATGAGCATTAATAATTACAAGTATAATGATACTAATAGCAGAAGTAAGAAAAAATAAACAAATTTGATGCTGAAAAATAAAAGTTCAAATCTAAAAATTAACAAACATTCAATGCAGTGAATCTATACTAATACACATGTAAACAGAAAAGCCCAGAAACAAATACAATGACACAAACAACAGACAAACACACAATAAAGGCACTATAAAATATACCCAGGCAAACCGCAGTAATATCACAGCTACATTATCACAGTATCATATGACACAGGCAAATACCAAATAAAATAAAAAAAAACACAACTGAATAAGTTCAATAAATCAACAGATTCAACCAAATCACAATTAAGTAAACCTGCTCAGAAAATATCACAAATGCACAAAAACTGCCAAACTAAGTCACAGTCATGTCAAATGTCACTAAGAAAACACAGTGTTAGTATTGTGCAAAGTTTAAATGTAAAAGGAGAAAAAAAAATATATCGGAGAAAAAAATCAAAACAATATTTAACGTATATCAGAAAAAAAAATCTATGCAAAATAATTTATGAAAAAAAATCCACCTATGGTTTATTTTTTATGAATGTATTCACATATCAATAAAGTTAACCAAAGAATCAATGTACAGACAAAAAACGAAACAAACCTACAACCTCATTATCATAAATAAATAGGACATGCTAATTCAACATTTCATCTTTCTAACTCATGCATGGTATATATAGTCACCTACAAATACTTCACACGTAAAGGTGACAAAATTACAGAATACAAAAGAAAATAATGTTGTTGTTTTATGAAAGTCAATGTCTTTAATTCCGGAATATCCCTGAATGATAGTGGTAAAAACAGTTCATAAATACCTGGTCTCCTCTGCCGAGAATATTACATTTATAAAATCCACAAACAAATCTTTTTTTGAAACATGGGCGGCGCCATCTTGGGAAAGTCAGTATCCGTAAAATGATTGGAATCAGCGAACACAAACACACTGAAGAAATATATCTCCATCACAGGAGCGCTTGGAACAAGCGACCTTGACCGGGTCGGTCACAACCGGAAGCACACATACGTGGTCACGTTCTGCGCATGTTAAAGGCACAGGCTCTGGTACAAACAATATCTGCGCTGATTTCCTCACTGGAGGCTCCAATGTAGCGGGGTGGTTTTACAAATAACCAAGAGTTCTTTAAGATTTATGTTTATTCCATTTCCACAGCACAGATATAACATGGTTCAATATCCTAGTGTATAGGTAGATACATATACATTACACTCTGTAAACAAACACAAAAGACTACATTTAGCACAACGAATCACAAGTACAATACATATACTAAAGGGACATAACTCTTACAAACTAATTACTGTACTGCCTACTAATTCATACCGTTACAATTACACAGCATACATGGCAATTACTTTACAATAATTTTACAATTATTGTTTCTCAATTATATATCATTACAAATAGTTACATAGTAATCTAATGACCAATTAATCCAAAAGAAATAAGAAAGAAAATGATAAACCTAACTTTAACAACTAAAGTTAGAATATAACTTTCATGGAAATATAAATTACTTAAAATGTACATATCACGCACCTGTGTATGGCACAGAGCCAGGAATTAGGAAACCNCCGGAGTCGATGTCGGATTGGACATCAGCCCCTACTATCAGCACTTCCCCCTCCTCTGAAGATGACGAGGTTGACCCTTCATCACATGAAGGTCCATGCCTGAGTCTGGATCTCAACTTCCTTGGAGTCGGTTTTGGTTTCCTGGGAGTCGGGATTGGTTGCCTTTGCCTGGTATCTATACATCCAATAGGCAGAAGGAGGTTTCTGTGCAATGTCCTAATCCGTCCTTCTCCGTTCTCCTTCCTAACTGTATAGGCTGGTATGTCTGCATTAGGCTGTCCAGTAACAATATATGGGTCCTCCTCCCACTTGTTGGTTAGTTTATGTTTTCCCTCAAAGGCAAGTATCTTAACTAACACCCTGTCACCAATGTTTAATAATTTAAGTTCGTTTTATAGAAAATATAGAGTAATTCTGGTTTCGATTTCTTTGTTATATATCTACACGTGTCAGGTACTCTTGGTCTATTGTACATGTGTTCCCCACACCAAAGTAGCAGGTTTACAACTGGCCTGGTAATACAGAAACGAATTGCCCCTTGCGGATTTGAAGATGGTTGTTAGGGAAATTTAACCACTCGCTGACACACACTTTTCTTTTCAAGATGATATCTACCTGAGAATATATGGACAATGACCACCCGTGCACTGACCATTCACCTGTGGTCACATGCGATACTGATGGGCTGTACCTGATCTTGAACACCTTGCGTGAAGGCAATTAAGTCTGTCAATTAATCAAACTCATTATCTGTCCAGTAGATAACACAAAAGTTACAGAAAAAAAACATCTCAACTAATTATTAACCTAGAAATGGATTAATGAAAGAAATTAACTGATTTGAGTGAAAACATAATTAATCTGTATATACTTCTTTTGTTTATGTTTTCTGTTGGGAGTTCTTTCTGTGCATGGTAAACATATTAAAGATGTTAAAATCAGTCAAGCATTTTGGTCTTGAGCACCACTGGCCTAGTTTGTATGAATCAGAAGACAAACTAGTATCCCCTAGCCAGTTACACAGTGGTCAGTATCACAGACCAGGTTATCTCCATTGTAACGAGCCTTTAACTGAATTGATATCAGTATTTCTTGACAGATGACTATATAGTAGAGTTGTACACTACCTACTCCCCTCAAATGGTTTACAAACTGGGTGTGACATACATAGTCGACACTAATTGATAACATATCCAGCATCAATTAAAGGGTCACTGCTATACCTGTACGGTCAATGGTCCAAAATAGCCACAGGGAACAGGTGTTACAATTAAAGAACTAGAAGGTCGTTTGCAACAAGCAAATTAAATTTTAAAAAAATCAAAATAAATTGGGAATGTTTATGTCCCTGTGCTAAACGGTAAAGATGTCTTAAAAAAGAATTCCACCATCAAATAACAAATAATGGCATCTGGATGATAGATTAGGAACACATATATTGCTACCGCTACAGAAGTTGAATTTATATGACCGTAAAATAACTCCTCCCTCAGCATGTTCTAGTTCCTCGTCCCCACACAACGATTGTCCAGCCGGACCTGTAATAACAGACAATATAATCATTATGCATAACGCGAAGCCACAAAAGCTTTGCATGGAGAGTCCCTGAGTGTCGTTAGACTCCTACTGTCAATTGGAAGGTAAATTTTAAGATGCTTCTCGATTCTGTGGGAGACTTCGCCAGACAATGGGCTAAAGGAGTGCATGTCGAATTGGATTCACTTTCAGAGTGGAGCAAATCTAAAATGAAAATAAAGGAAATGTTTGTATATCCTAGTCCTGATTGCCAAACCACACTCAATGATCTGCATGATAAGTATGTAGTTGTGTCAGAAATCTAATAACTGATATTTCATCTGCAAGCAGTATAACAGTATCTGCTAGCAACAAAACTGGGCTTGCTCAATAACAACGGAAACCCTTCCTACATATTTTCTGATGGTCTTTTTGAAAGACGAAATACTAGCTTATCATGTTTCTGTTTAACAATCTTTCAGATAATCCAATACCTACCAGTAATTCCGAGATGCAGTCGCACTGTGAAATTGTATACTCAAGAAGTGGAGTAACAAACGGTATGTGGATTTTAAACCATTTAAATTATCTTTTGAACAAATTCTCCTAAAAATGTTTCTTCAATCAAACCATTTGACCCTTTGCACTGCAGAACCTTTTACCAAATTAAATCAATGCATTCGTTTCTTTTTGTTGTGAGAGGTTCCTTTTCGGGTGGTCGGATGGCGCAGTGAATAACGCACTCGCCTTCAACCAATGCGACCGGGGTTCGATTCCCCTACTGGACGTGAATTGTATTGGTCATCTGCCCGACCACGTGGGTTTTTCTTTGGGAACTGCGGTTTCCTCCCACATTAAGCCCCTCGCGCTAGCCTTCTGGCAAGAAAGAACGATTATTGTTAGCTTTATCTTCTTTTAAAAGAAATGCGAACGGCGATATAAATATGTTCTTGTTAATCGTTTTGGAACATATTTTGTAAAAAGGACAACAAAGACCAAAATGAAATATACTGAGAACGACATTGTGAAAATTATTGAGTTCTCGGATGACAATGTCTTTGTTGAGTTCGTTGGCAAGACTTTCCGGCATACTGTAGGCATACAGATGGAAACAAACTGTGTCCCTCTTCTGGCCGATATTTGTTTCATATGAAGCTAAATTTATTTAAAGCATATCAGGATTGATTACAGAAAAACTAGCTGAATCCTTTATTTTCGCATTCAGATATATTAGCGATGTCCTGTCATTGAATATCAAGAACATTTAGGTGGTCGCTTGGCACAGTGTATATCGCAGTTGCCTTTCATACATCGGACATGAAATGGTATGGAATCACTTGTCTGATCACGTGGGGGTTTTCCGGGTACTCCGGTTCCTCCAACATAAAGCCCTTTGTGCGCTAACATCTGGGTCAACAAGAGTGATTAATATAGGTTGAAATAACTTCATTCATAATCGTTGTAAAATAATAAAAGTTGTATTTAACAGGAAATGTATAGACCAACACGATCATATATTCCCCCAGAGCTTGGAATCAAAAACAAAGATACAGACTCGTCTACTTTTGCCACATGCCTCTATCTTAACTTACATAAAAAATCTACAAGAGCGGCTAAATACTAAGTTGTAAGATAGGTGGGACGATGTTCACCTTCTTACGGTTTCTACATTTCGCAGTTAATTCGCTTGCTCCGACTATTATGACTTCCGTGATACATGTCGGCTGCTGACAGACAAACTTATAACACAGGGCTTCTGAATGTAAAGGTTGATGAATACTGTAGACAAGTTTTACGGTCGACATCATGATTGCGCAGGGAAACATGCTATATGTTTTTGATTTCATCAATGGTGTGCCTATTTTGGTGTTGTTGTCACCACCCGAGTTGTCGATGTGCGGATGTGACATTAATTAGATATGAAATATATTTACCTTTCCGGAACACCTGGGTTTATTATCTTTGTTATTTTCGTGTTGTTTGTATGCTTTAACCTCATAAATATATTTGATTAAATAATCAAGATCTTCCGTCTCTATTAGAGAGTTAGGTTATTTCCACAGTAATGTCTCTCTACCTTTTCGAACTCATTAAACTTAGCGCTTAAAAAACTTAAAAAATAGCGCCATCTGACCAATATTCACGCTCTATTTCTGAAAAAGGAAATTAGCCAAGACATGCTAATTTGTGGGGGTTATGTTTTCTCCTGGTAAATGTCTTAGTGGAAAGATTCCGTTCTCTGTATATATAATCATGATGAGTTCATCTTTCAGTTCAATTCATATTTGCAAATATTTGGTTATTTACTTGTCTGAAATGCCTACCATTGTCCATGTCAGGTTTTGATACAAAAGTCTGTACCATGTTGTGTCTTGATATGCGTATGGCTACATGCTCTTTACTATACGGTTTCAGTGTGATATATTAACACAGGTTGTCTCCTATAGAGGTTATATCTTGAGCAGATTTGTTTATACGTTTTAGCTAGAACTGATTTGTGTGTTGCTATTATGTCTATATATATTCATTAATTTGTGTGACGGCCTATAAACTGATCTCAAGATTTTGTTATTCCAAGAGCGATATAATAAGAAACAGTAAAATGCTTTGTATCTTCTGTTTGCTCCTTTTTTATTCTGTCATCTAATTGTCCGTCTTTAATTCTTCTTTTGTCCTTGTCTTAAATTTCCATAACCTTCTAGCTTTAATACATTCTTTTGGCTTACCAGGCATAATTCGGAATTAGGACAAAGTCTCTAGTGACCTATTGCGATCGCCTTTTGTCCGTCGTCGTCCGTCGTCCGGCGTGCGTCCGTTAACAATTTACATTTTCGACTTCTTCTCCAAAACCCCTGAACCAATTTCAATGAAATTTTGCAGAAACCTACCATGGCCAAAGGTCAACAACAATAGTGGCTGATTTGGTCCACAGTCTTAAGAGGCGTGAGGGGCGGGGCCAAAAAGGGTCAAATTGACTAAAATTTCAAAAATCTTCTTCTCAAGACCCAGATATGGTAGAATCAAATACTCTTCATATATGGAAGGGTCTAGAGGTGCTTTAAAAAATTGAATTTCTTGACCCTGGGGTCTCACGTTTCCCCCTGAGGAGGGGGTAAACTTTACTATAGTTTATATAGGGAAATCACATTTTGGACCAAAATTTGTTAAATTTCCATTGGAAGTAATTCAATTTGACTGAAACTTCAAAAATCTTCTTCTCAATACCCAGGTATGGTAGAATCACACACTCTTCATAGATGGAAAGGTCTTAAAATGCTCTACCAAAATTGTGAATTTTATGACCCTGGGGTTTGATGTTTCCCCCTTGGGAGAGGGTAAACTTTACTATAGTTTATATAGGGAAATCACATTTTGGACCAACATTTGTTTAATTCCCATTGGAAGTAATTCAATTTGGGTTAGCATTATCAGTATTGGATAGCAGTTTGATGGTATGCACACATCAGCCCTGATTGACCCCCCGGGGCTGATGGTGGGGTCAAAAAGGGTCGAATTGACTGAAATTTCAAAAATCTTCTTCTCAAGACCCAGATATGGTAGAATCAAATACTCTTCATAGACGGAAGGGTCTAGAGGTGCTTGAAAAAATTGTGAATTTCTTGACCCTGGGGTCTCACGTTTCCCCCTGAGGAGGGTGTAAACTTTACTATAGTTTATATAGGGAAATCACATTTTGGACCAAACTTTGTTTAATTTCCATTGGAAGTAATTCAATTTGGGTAAGCATTATCAGTATTGGATAGCAGTTTGATGGTATGCACATATCAGCCCTGACTGACCCCGGGGCTGATGGGTGGGGCCAAAAAGGGTCAAATTGACTGAAACTTCAAAAATCTTCTTCTCAATACCCAGGTATAGTAGAATCACACACACTTCATAGATGGAAGGGTCTTAAAGTGCTCTACCAAAATTGTGAATTTTATGACCCTGGGGTCTGATGTTTCCCCCTTGGGAGAGGGTAAACTTTACTATAGTTTATATAGGGTAATCACATTTTGGCCCAACATTTGTTTAATTTCCATTGGAAATAATTCAATTTGGGTTAGCATTATCAGTATTGGATAGCAGTTTGGTGGGGTCAAAAAGGGTCGAATTGACTGAATTTTCAAAAATCTTCTCAATACCCAGATATGGTAGAATCAAACACTCTTTATAGATGGAAGGGCCTTAAGATGCTCTACCAAAATTGTGAATTTCATGACCTTAGGGTCTCACGTTTACCCCTGGGGAAGGAGGGGGGGGGGGCAAAATTTATGGTTTATAATGGCAAATGCATATTACATGTTAATAACTTGATTGGAATTATAACCCTGTGTTGACAGTTTGATACTTTGAAAATTTTGAGCCAGCCCTGCCCCCAAGGGCTGTAGGTTGGGGCCCAAAGGAGTCAGCGTGCTAAAATTTCGTTATTTTCCTTGTTTAGAATCAGAGGTGGTAGTTTCAAATACATTTCAGTCTTAAATCTGTATGCTAGATATTGAATAAGGTGGTTTTATTGTTTTTTGTCACTTTGAATAATATTTATGTTCATGTTAAAAACAAAAATCAACTCTCTGTATAAATATATCAGGTGACCTTTAAGGCCCATGGGCCTCTTGTTGTGTCTAATCTTCCTTTCTCTGATATTGATTCAATCTTCCGTCCTTTGTTACAGTTAAGCCTCCCTTACGTTCTGGCCTTTTGACATACTTCTATTCTGGAGTCATTTTTTAATATATATTTATTCCTATTCATGCTATATGTATATATTACAATTCATGCTTAAATCCCAGTATGACGTAAACATGGACGATGCTGAATCTTTTTGTTTTGGCATCGGTTTGGTATGATAAGCATTTGACCTGATGTTTAACAAAACAACCAATGGACACCGAATCATATTAAAATGAAAGTTAAATACAATTTAAATTCAATAGCGTTCTTCATTGTAACAATTGAATGCAATTACATTCTGTCACAGATTGATATTATGACGTCATCAATCGCCCTACAATCAGCACTGAACTTTCATTTTAATCCAGCTACTCCATAGTTTGTCCACGTCATAATACTTTGTACACCGATAGCATCTTAATTTTGATGGACCAGTCTTCTAGGCAAATGAATATTAACAAAATGTCGAATTTATCTTGACAACTTTTCATTTGTATCTTTATTTGTAATATTAGACAATAAAGATCACGAATATTATCAATAACATGGGTATGGTTTAGATATATACAAGATTTTAATATCAATTTAGATCATGTATAAGTTCTAATAAAGAAGCTCATAATATGGCAAGCCAACTAAGGTAGCAGTGTAGAGTAGCGCACGATTGCCATGAGTGATATTTTTATACAATGAATAACCACTGCAATAGATCATGTATCATTAAAAAACATCAGCACTAAAAAAGGCATATACATGATGAAGTGGATTATGTGGCTTCATAAGTTTTCAAAAAAGAAATTCGAATTCGGTTTGAGACTACAATTTTGGGCATTTACAAAAATTCACCGGAATGACCTATGCTAAAACGTGAGTAATTTTGTTTCCGAGAAGGCGATATCTAATTTGCATATTTTGGTGTTTTTTTAATGTGGTAACCATGGTTTTCACAAGTCCCAAATCTGGGGAGACACAGTTTTTGAAAACAAATCAGTCTTCTAAACAAAATGAAATCAAAATGTAGTTTATAAATATGTATATCTATGTAGGTGTGTTGTGCAGGTTGAATTCACTATCCATGTTACGAGACATGTCCTTTATTTTTAGGGTCAAGCCATTTCTATTGTACACTGCTACCTAAACATTTATTTATGAAGTGAGGCAAGTCATGTGTTTCATAGAGGTATAGGAGGATGTCTTCAATTTGTAAAGGTTGTTTTATATCAAAATTCTATGAAAGGACGTACAATACACACGTCCGACACATTAAGAATGTCATTAGTTTTTTTATTAAGATATTTTATATATTTGAAGTTTCTAATAGGAAAAACAATCTTTTAAGCTAATATTTGTTGAAAAGTCGTATACAGTATTTATATTATAACAGGTATGATATATCTTTCATGAAATATCTTATATATGAAAACGTTTATAAGATCCATCCTGAAGTTGATACATCAGCCATCCTATTACCATTTAGAATAAGATTGGCATCCTACTGAGTGGCTCTACACCCTTGTCATCAAACATTAAAACGAATTACGGGATTAAGAACGTGTCTTTGATGAATGAAAATCATTTCATTTGTATTATCCCCCGCTTTCACCGAAACGGGGGATATTAATGTGGGTTTGTCTGTCTGTCTGTCTGTCTGTCTGTCTGTCTGTCTGTCTGTCTGTCTGTCTGTCTGTCACGCTTCGTTTCCGTGCAATAACTACAAAAAGCGTTTACCGATTTTCTTCAAACTTGGTCACAGGGTTAGATGCCTTAAGGGCTTGGCCAACTTCGATGACCACTTTTAGGTAACCAAATTTAGCGGAGTTATCGACCCCTGAATAAGAAAAAACGTCATTTACTGCCGCGCTTTGTTTTCGTGCAATAACTACAATAAATGTTAACCAATTTTCTTCAAACTTGGTCACAGGATTAAATGCCTAAAGGGCTCAGCCAAGTTCGATGACCAGTTTCTGCTTACCGGTAATAATTCTATCAAATATTAGCCAAATCCTTCACACTTGATAACAATGTTTGTGTTCCTCTGTCTTTCCACCCATCTTTGGCACTCTTTGGTTTTCATGTGATAATTGATGTAGATATTGTTCAGATGTTTTAACCAAATTCTGTATTTACATCCGACTCATGCTAACTTTGCCAACCGATGTGATTTGTGTATATTTACGGATAATCAATGAGTTGTAGGGCTTTTTTCATGTTTCAAGCTTTACATTATATCTCAACAGCACGATACTCACATGTTTAAACCTAACCTCAAAAATGTTAACCTACAATATGTCTTGCAAGCGGGGGATATAAATTCCATGAATTTGCCAGGACCTTCACATGTCTTGGGAAAAAATATTATAATATGATGTCCATAAAGAACTAATTATTCCAATATCATTACATTGTATGTGATTATTTATATATATTTTTGATCGCAATATGAACAATATCCAATCAATGACAATAATCCTTTTAATTTTTGTATTGATTAAAATATGAATAAAGGTTTATTCCAATTTTTGTATTGATTGAAATATGAATAAATGTTTATTCCAATTTTTGTATTGATTAAAATATGAATAAATGTTTATTCCAAACTGTTGTGGAGTATCAAATGTTTATAAATTAAATCTGCTAATGAATGCTCATATGGCTTTTTGACGAAAAAATATAAATTCAATTATTAGGTATTCTGATATTCAAGTTGTGAAATTTAGTTATCGGGTAACCTCGTGCTAATTTAACTTAATAACTATTGGGTTTTTTTCTTTCTTGATTAGAATCCCAGGAAGTAGCAGTCGACGAGATACATGACCATTCAGCATTATGCACCTTTGCAAGCACCAATTGCATTGAAAGACGAGTCATCGAAGACTTCAGTCTGAAGCTCAGAAAAACCGTTGATGCTATCGCGATAGCAACAGCATTGCTCAATCATGGAGATTGTAACCAATTTATCTCTGAGCTGATCAGGGCTAACATCAGAGGAGGATCAAGTCGGGAAGAGATGTGGAATATTCTATTACCGAACATTCCTCTTAACTGCTCGTTCTCGTCCTTTTGGTTGGCGCTATATAGTTCTGGCTATGACATTTTATCAACGGAAATATCAAAACATTTTTGGCAATATCACCTAACCGTTGGCCCTCGTCGAACCGAATGTAAAAGGCAAGATTACTTTCTGCGTTTGAAAGTATGTTTTCATGACCAAGTGTTCAAACAACCACATCAGTTGTTTTTAGAAACATCGGAACGACATAGGATCAAATATGAAGATGCCAATGATGCTAAAGGGAAAATGCGTGCCGCTGACCGTTATGCAGACTGCCTCTGTGTTCTCATCGACACAAAAGCTCCGGATTTTTTGGGAAAGTTTCCTACTCACAACCTGTTCGAGAGCCTTAAAGCTATCATTCCAGAAACGTCAAACACCTCACTTACAGAAGTTGCCTATTACTCGCGATTGGCAATTGCACATGGTATGGCGAACGACATGGAAACGGGACGTAGATGTATGGCTCAAGCACAAGCGGCCGCATTCCAGATAGAACAAAACGTCCAGTATGTGTACAATATGTTATACATCCATATTCATTTCCTTTGCATGCAGGTAGAACGCCCAACGTCGAATGATATAGATAGAATTCTCGATGTAACCAGACGTTTCCTGCAGAACCTTCCAGTCCCGGATGAAGGGGCAGTTTTCTGGAAAAAAATGCTCTTGCTACGATCTGCGTTTTTTCTACTTGGATTCAGTCACAGAGGCGTAGTCAACGAGTTACATAGAGTTGAGAAGAGCCATGTTGTTGTCGCTAAGATTTTCTTGGCCGAAATAGATGCCCATTGGGATGGAATCGAATACGTGCGGAGATTGTTCTATTATGTATGCAAAGCTCGGATTCAGGAACTAAAACACAAAGACATATATGATGAAAATGGGGAAGGAGACAGGCACCAACAAGAAATTGTCACTCTTCATTTCCGGGCTGCCATTGACCAGTTAGACAAGACCATTGAAGAGGGTCAACGTGAACAGCATCCACAGTTGTTCCTCGCTGAGATGTACTCATGCAGGCTACGCAGTAAAATCGGGAATTTTCGGTACCTCCTACATATTTTTACGTTATATATACAACTTTTCATAAGATTTATATTGGGATGGAGGAATTTCTAAGAGCATCCATTTTTCTATTGATAGCTATATTTTATCCTCGGCATGACACGCAGACACAAACTGTGCTAGCTCATTAGGACGATTGTTAGGCTGCCGTAAGACCATAAAAAAGGCGATCACCAGACACCTCAAATAGCCTGTCTCTAGAGAAAACGGTACAATGTATTTACTGTGAATCTGTTTACTTTCAAAATATTGATAGACTTGGTAAAGCATAGCTTGATACTGAATGTTTTGTGAATTAAGCGGAAATGAAATAATATATTCATTCAGAAGTGTCAAGGTGCATATTCCAGGTAGGAATTGTAACGCAAGTTTACCGTATATCACCTGGGTTCTGTTTCTTCGGAAATGCTATATAATTCACCTGATGATTCACTTCAAAAGTTGATTTCTCAACACATTTTTTATGAATGTTTCTCTTTCTCCAAAACCATTTTATATGTACATTAGCTAATCAAAACTAAATCCACAATGTACAGAGGAAATGCTTGTTAGTTTTAAAACATAAATATCCTGATAAATTTTATATAGGCAGATTTGCCTTTTATTATATTTTGTACAGTACTACGACATATAATGAAACTTAAATTACATAACTCTTTCTTTACTCGAAAGGCATGATGTTTTCTTCTTTATCTTAGTAAATAAAACTTTGATAATTCGAACCCTGAAAAGTCGAAAAACTCGGATACCTCGAAGTAAGATATTGGTTTCTAAAGCGGAAATCCAACATCAAAACATTGTCTACTTCATAGTGTTCAAATTTCATTTTGTCACTTATTAATTCTTTGATGCAAATAAAACGCAACAGTACAACATCTCGCCATTCGCGAGTAGACTAAATCGGTAAAAAGAATTTACGATAAAGCTTCAAACTGTAAAGTGTGCGGACTGCCAAAACCATGTCGTTTATAATAAAAAACAAACTTCATTAATGTCGATTAACAGTATTCTGTACTTACTGCGAGTCCGTTTAATGATTTGTACACCCAAACACAGACAACAGTGCAAACCGGAAAACTGGTCACAAAGCGTGGTCATGCATAAAAGAGTTATACAGTTAAAATCACAACCTAAGACAGCTTCACAGGTTCATGTTTTTACAGGAGCCAGTATGACTTTACAAGACGATCGAGAGATTTAAGAACAATACGATAATTGCTGTTGATTACATCGAGTTGAGGAGGTGTCAGGTGTCACATTTAGCTTTAATGAATTAATGTGTTACATGTACGATATAATGTGTTTGGTTGTTTTCATTTACAGAATCAACTATGCGTACGCTCCATTACAGTGTTATGTTTTTGACTTGCGCACTTTCATTTCCGCATGGTATAGTACGAGGACGAAGACAGCGGGATAGTTCGATATGTTGTAACTTTAAGGTATTGATATATTTGAATGTTTAGTAGATTTACTTTATTTATTTTTGTCATCAATTTTCTTTAATACTACAATATTACTTACGTCTAAATAAAGACTATACTTATTATCATATAAGCATTTGTATATTGTAATTGATGAGCATCATATATTCAATGGGGCTATTAACTTGAAGAAGAAATTGACCTTTATATCACGTTTTGTACTTTAAATCATGTAATGTTCCTCTCTATACACAGAACAATATCTTGACTTGTTTGCCTTTGAAATAAACTACAGCATTGAATTGAAAGGTTTAGGTGCAAATTGTTGCGTTAATGAAATATACATGCATGCAAATAAGACAATATAGCATAAAACAATGTTACAAGAACAAACGATATCATGGTGATTGCATTGTATGTACCCGGTGTGATATGAACAGACTGTATAAACACGGCGAAGCTCTTATTAATCTCTGATATTTATTGATTTCAAAATGAGATATGACAAGCTTACTTAAGTCGTTTTGGGCAGTATAGCATTTCTTTATGTAAACACGTCCGTATTTGAAGAATTATTTATCTTTTCCTGTCGGAAGATTGAATGGCCGAAAGAGTCCCCATTTGGTAAGTTCGGACAGGCAGTCGGGTAGGTTCGGCCCATGTTGGAATCGGATTTTCCCGCCAATCTCACGACGATTTATGTGTTTTACGGGCCGAACCAATATCATAGGCCGAAGCTGTCCAGGCTTAAATTAATATTTCGATAGTTTCGTATTTTACAGCAATTCGAAAGTGCATGCTAGACTGGGGTTTTATGTAAATGATGTGTTTAGCTGTCAGTTTGTTGCAAAGTTGACATAAATAAGTAACAACTCGACTTAAAGAAAGTTCGCCCCGATGATGTATGAGTAGAGAGAAGTAAGGTCATGATTTTCTTTCTACCCTCCAAAATATATTATAATTAAGTTTTCACTAAACTGCTAAGATCAGCATAGTTATAAATATTAGCGCTAGACCTAAAATAACAGGGGTGTCCGAACTTGCCCCGGGCTCCCGTATGTAAATATGTTTGTTATCATAGATGATTGGTCAAAATAAATTCACAATATAATTTTTGCATCAATGACACCATCTTCTTCGAGTCAAAGCTAAAGTAGATATTTTTAACATATATGCGCAACACGAGTGAAAGATATCAAATATTAGCCACACGAGTGAAATATATTTGGTATTACTGAAGACATTGTTAGATATTCTGTTACATTTCTTTTTACGAAAACCTACTCCGGAACGGAAAGTGCCACATCAAGCTGTCAATACTTGATCTGGATCCTTTTACCGATAGCATGTCTAGACAACCCTACGCGACAAAATATAGTCTTCTCTGCAAATATTATAATCAAATGTAAAACCTCACCATTAAATTCTTTTATTAGTTTATTATAATGAAGTAGGTACTTTTATTGCTGACCTGCATAGCTTGCTGGCTTTCTTAAAATAAGAGTTAACTGTATAATTAAACGTTGTGTTTCCCAATTAACAGATCTGATAATTCTGGACAGTAAAATCGGTAGATTTTCATAAGGCCTGCGTATCGTCAAGCTAACCGGTCTTAGACCAGATGCGCAGCTTGAAATTTTTCCTATTGTAGTTTGGTATCGGTGTTGTGATTGATCAAATCAGAAAAAAGTTATATCAAATGTTATTCTGATTCATTTACGCACGTTGATGTATTTGAAGATCTGACATGCTCATTTCGTTGGCAGATGACAATACATATCAAGTTCTGACAAAGCGTTTGAAATTAAAGAAGTTTTGTGTCCGATGAATTCCCCATTTGCTGACATCTGAACAAAAGGCTACACGTTTAAAATGTACTAAAATATATTGATATAGCACGATAAGTGCGATTCAAGAAAGCTCTTAACAGGAAATGAGATATGGGGCTAATACTTAAAACCCCAGAGGCGCATTAAGGATGTGCTCTTCTGAGGTTTCAATCACGTTAAAATCTCGGTTTGAACTTGTGTAACAGGTTTTTATAATAATTAAAAAGTTTTGATCAATTTTGATAACACACATGCATCTGAAAATGTGTCAAAAAACTAGATGCCTGTTTTTTGTTTAACTGTTTTTACAAGAATTTAAAAAAATGACCAAATGATGAAAGTTTGCATTTCTTGCTCTCCACGATCCCCACATTTCGCGGTGGCGTTCTATGGCGTGGAGGGGAGGTATAAAAAATGTCAACTGTAACATGCAATAATGTTTAAAATTATACATGATTAGCTTTGTTTTGTTTACATATTCATTGTAATTGAAGCACTCTCGATTTTTTACCCCAAAAAATGAAAACAACAAATAATAATTGGACAAAAAAAGAAGCACACGAACCTCCCATTGTTGTTACTTAAACTTCTAAACATATTAAAAATAAATTCTAAGCTGTGGTCTCTGTGTTTCTATTACTAAAGAAAATGTTCGCTTGAAACCGATTTGCCTCTAGCAGTGCACTGGTTAGTGTAATCTTTCAATATCTCGCCAGTATACCAAGGGAGACCACCGCGCTTTGTGCTTTGCGCTTGTAAAGTAATTTTGTGTAGTCAACGACAAAAAATGAAATAGCAGTTTTAATCAGAAGTAAGGGGATACAATATAATTCTTTGTAACCGGCGGGTTCTTGATATCATGTTTGGAAGAATTGGATTTCTTATAATACAGTTCTTCATGTTTTCCCCAAGTTCCTCCAAAGCAGGTATGAGATAACTCTTTAACTACCAAACGTGCAGCAAAGCTCTGTTTACAAAATCATAACAAAGACATGGGCTTTGGCGTAAATAGCTCACCCAAAAAACTGGGCCGCCGAATTTATTAAATTATTTGTTTTGTTTTTTTCTTTTGATTATTTTTTGAAATGATTTCTCTTTCCTAATTTTGTTTTCTTTTGACTTTTATATTCGAAATGAAATACCCTTTTGTAAAGGTGCGGCCAATTAAAACCGCTGCTAAATAAAACTAAAACCGTCTAATTAAAGAAGCAGACTCAAAAGTCACCAAAGATAGATCAGAATATGCTGGAAAGCAGGCTACCCAACCCTTACTTCCCTATGGGAAGGGGGTGGTAGATTTTCCTAGGCTCTGACCCGCTGGCAGTGCTGTCTCACCTCTGATCGTGCCCCTAGTTACATATATTTTTTTAACAATATATATATATGCCCACAGCTTTAACCATTAATAGGGAAATATCCCTGGTCACAATGCCTTAGATCATAAAAACAAACTCTTGGTGAATGGCGTCTGATTCTCGATACATAATATCTATCACAAAGTGTTCAGTATATATTAAATAAATATGATGAAGTTGAAATTTGAACATGAATTCCGACTATTAGAACTGAATGTATGACATAGATAACATGAAACATTGACTGGTAAAACTTAAATAACATAGATAATGACTAAAACATGGAAAATTTCAACAATCCTTAGCCTTTTCTTACCTAATTTTGTATATAAAACACTCTTCTTTAGCCAGTGAAAAGATACATAATTATTAACTCCTCTAACTTATAATAAAACTAATACACAATGCAATTTAGAACCTACAGTATTGGTTAACATCCAAATCTTGCTTTCTGTGCTGAATAAGGGAAGGAGGGTGGGGTTTTATGAAGATTTTGAAGTCTAATCAAAAATTAGTACTTCCTTTTCTTCGTTTTATTGATATTTCTGTGCTTTATAAAAATGGCGGATCTAAAGGCTGTGGGTTTAAGGATTGGGGTCAACGTACAAGAAGCCAGGGGGCCCTTTAGCCTTTGACCTTTCGACCAATAGGAATCCTCCATTCACTCTGAAGCAGGGGCCCACAGGGGGAAACCCAACTGTGGGTTCCCAAAAGGGATCTTATTAAATGAAAAAAATCGTATATAAATATAGTTTTAATATTTGTTCTTATCGGAAAAGTTTGAACATTTGAAACTCTTTATACAACGGACAATACGTTTTGTTATTGAAAATACAGTATTATATTTTTGAAATTGCATCTATAGCAAAAATAGGACACTTATTCAAAAAACTGTGTTGTATTTTATTTTGTCTAATTGTTGGTATTTTAAATAAATTACAAAGAAATCATAAAAACACTAATTCATTTAATTAAAGTTAATACCCAATAGTACCAATCAAAGAAAAATATCATGTTTTATCTTTAATCTCATTTAGTGACATTGATTGCAAAACCTAAAATGCAAAGCGACACATTGATTTGTGATAATGCATGATTCTATTGATTAAATAAAAATATGTTCTTACATCATTTATAATCAGGCAAGCAAACGTTATACAGTATAGATGACATTATATAAAAATAACGATTCACCTTTAAAGACACCGTAGGCATACTAAGTTGTATTCGATATGATTCCATACGTTTCTTGGACTTTCTACAATCGTCATGTATATCATGGCCCGAACAAATGTATTCATATTGGTCTTTTATTCTCATCACATGATACAAAAAACAACATTACAAAAACGTAAAAAGGTAAAATAACTAAACATTGAAATACATTGTCAATTCATTTATTATACTTCACTACACGCGGAAAAACAAACTCCAACATACAACTGTATTATGTGTGGTTATACCAACATCATACCAAAAAATATTGGCTGCAAATGTTGGTGTTATTTTGAATATTAATAATATTGGTTGACAAAATGCATAATACACATTCAATTCCAACATAACGTGTAAAGTTTTTGCAGTTTTTTAATTAAAAAATGGCATATTATGAAATGGACACACTCTAAAACGTTTCTGTCAGTTTTCATTTCAAATAAAAAAAACACTGAAAAATGAACTGATGAGTCGATATGCATCTATCTATCCCTAAAGATTTTCCTATCTTAATATGCAATCATCTTTCTACATTTTACCATCCTTCATGATTTGCTTGATAAACTGATCAAGATCAACATTCGATGAAAACCCAAGTCTCCCAGGTCGTCTGACGGCAATCGTATCAGGTTTGACGGTTGACCACCATGATTTGGTTGTTGCCTGTTCTTTGCTGCATTAGGTTGAGTTCCGGTAGAGGTGTCGTTTGACTGTTGTCCATCCTGGTTTAGATGTTGGCTGACTTGTACTGTAGAAGGCAGAGTCCCTGTTGAGATGTTGTTTGACGCCCGTGATGTACAGAATGTTGATGAATGGGATCCCGTATAACACGCAGTTACCACAGCCGAATCTGTGGATGATGTCGGTCTGACAATAGTTGAAGTTGCGGGGAGTCTTTTACTTGATGCTGTTGCGCTGGCAACAGGTTGGGCGCAAATCTGCAATTGAGGAGTAGTATTAAGACGCACGTTTCTTATTAAGATAGAGGACAAACCAATAATGTAATGAAACACACACAAAAACTGATTATATATATATATATATGTAAGTAACACCAGAACCCTTTACTTTTCGAAAATATTTACAAATCAAGAATGGGGAAAACCTAGTGACTACATTATCCATACATTTGTCGTATTTTCAAATTACACCGATACATGCATTTGTGAAATTCCATAAGATTCTATTATACCAGATTTATCAATCCAAATCCATTATTTGTTCTGGATGGACCTGTGTTCTGTGCAAGTTGTGTTGTGGGTTGACCGGATCGTCCTATTTGGGACACGTTAGAAGACGCCACGACCAAATTCTGTGCTATCTGTAAGCTTGCTCCTGTATTAGTGGCAACAGATGTTGAGGTCGTGACGATGGTTGGTGTTGCTGATTGACTGTCTAAACTCACTATGAGCGCAGGCTGTGTTGATGTCTGAAATATAAAATATAAACTTCATTTATTTAACAACAATCATGAAACAAGTTATTTCAACTTATATTAATCACTCTTGTTGGCCCGGATGTTAGCGCGTGGGGGGCTTGGTGTGGGAAAAAAACATGTACCCGGAGAAAACCCACGTGGTCGGGCAGGTGACCCCAACCTTTTCACGTCCGATCGGGGAATCGAACCCCGGCCGCCTTGGTGAAAGGCAAGTGCGCTATCCACTGCACCACCCAACCTCCCCATGTCTGAAATCATGCAAACACGCAACGTTTAGCTCCAAACCTCAGCGAAGGTTTATCAAGAATATATATACATGGGCAAGGAATTAACATTTCGGAGGAATCCTTTCCTTTATCGAGACACCTCGGCTAGCGTAAGCCGAAAGCAGAATTTACACTGAGCGTATCGTTGACCAATGACAGTGTGTGCGAACAATGACAAACACCGGTAAACATGAAGCTTGAAGATGCTTCGTCTGGTGATAATGAGTGGGATATAGAGTAGAAGATTTCGAAATATCTTTTTAAAGGGGAAATATATGTTAAATATTTGTTCTTGTGAAAGATATGTTTAAGGAACGATAAGAGTTTATTCTCCGTCAGGAATGAACGATAAAGGCTTGTCCTCCGTAATGATCGAACAAAAAGGGCTTGTTCTCCGTACGAACGAATGAAAATGGCTTGCACTCCTTGCTTAGCACGAGTGAAAATAGCAATGCATACAAACATACAAGTAAGCAAATTTGATACGTGTCGACCATGGAAAAAACGAAAAATAATATTGAAAAAAACGTACGTGAATTTGTAACATTTGATGACAAACTCATGACGTCACGCTTGACAAGGCTGCGAGTCATTCTTGATTTATTACTCAGCTCTGCCTGCTATTACCTTAAATTATTTGTCTATAAAATGTAATCAGTTGTGTGGTAAAATAAAAACATCAGTGTATGAAGCAATGGTGTACCAAAACTACCACTAAGCATATCGTCGTTTCACCTGCAATTGAACAGCACGACTTCAGCATTGAAGGCAGTGAATAGAAAATACTGTTCTGATTGGTCCGTATTAAAAGTGATAAACTCATATATGCAGAGATTGCATTAAGTATACAACACTTCATTGCTGGAGCTTGTGTTAATGATTGACAACTTACCGCAATCGAAATGGCTGCTGATGCTGTGTTTGGTCGGACAATGGTTGATGTCGCTTGTCGTGTGCTTGTGTTCACTGCTGATGTACGGGCCTGTTTGGGTGCAGGTTGTACGGTGGTCTACAACGGAATCATATACAAACAATTCATATTCTTAAGACTATGTGTACATTTGATTGGTACTTGAAACAGTTATATCAGTTAAAGCAAAATATCAAATGATTTGACAATCTAACTTGGCAAGTTCAGAGGTACACATTTATTACATCGGATTAAATTGAAAAAGGCAACTACATTGTCTTATCCAGTTTTAAATGTCTTTATAATTAGTTGCACGAACATCTTATTGATATGAAAAATTATCGGTTCACGATCTTTCAGTAATTTTTTACTTACTGTTGTCGCTGAACGTTTCTTTGTTATTGTCTGATGATTTCCAGATTGATATTTTCCTGCATTTTTTGATTGCGCGATGCATCCCTCTGCAATTTTTCTAGCTGTACCCTTTACAAATAAAACATAACCCTGAGAAATTCAAATACTCAAAATAATAAATTGCCGTTATGGTAGGATTGGTATCCGTGGTGAAAACGAAGCACGGTACATACTCTCTAATATGCTTATCATAGACTTCTACTTGTTTACAAATGATATTGAACAATTATATTGAACTTTTAAGGACGGACATGAGCATGAAATACTTTCTCAATGGGACTGATCTAGACAGAATTATTTTAATACAGATTTACAGCAGTATTTTTTTTATGTTATAAAATTCACTGGCGTAATTTAATTCTATATATGTAACATATAAATAATTGAATTCATTTAAGATAGTGTCAAATGGAGTACAGAACTAATTGAGAACATTCCTTAATTAGATTACTTACAGACTCTTTTATTGCCGATATTGGTCGGTAGCCGGGTACGTTAAATGGACACTTACGCTGTCTGCTCTGTTGATTTCTCTATTCGAATCAGAAAAAATTGCATACGGAAACGGTTTATAAAACAAATTAAAAATAATTGAAAAGTATTAAACTTATAAGTATCGCCTTGTGAAAAGACGACCTAATGATACTGGAAATTGATAGATCGAAATTATATGCGTTTCGATTGCCATTTGTTATAACAAAACAATTGTTTACGTACATTGGTTGTTCTAACGGCTTGAGCAGGAACATTTCCGCCCTACAAAAAAATGTTAAAATTAATTGTTAAAACACAGAATATAACATGTGCTGAAATAATTTTTTTTAAATTAATAATTATTGTTGATGATAAAATCCTCAAAAGAAAAAACATACCACCTTTTGATCTGTAAAATGATACAGTGCCACATACTTAAACTAATACCAGGAATATGGACGTTAACGAATACACACGTAGCAATAAGTATATAAAAATGTAGAATAGTCTATGCAGCAGCACAACTGTTTAAGGTTTATGTATGGCTTTTCGATGACTAGTGAGGTATGTACTCATCAGATACATGTGGTATAGACACTAAAATGGTTGTGCTACAGCAAGTTCTATTCAAACCATACTAATTTGTACGAAACTGAAGAAAAAAGTTTAGAAAGAAAAGTGCAGTTATATGAGTTGTCATGCAAGATATTTTGGTATCATTTGCAAGATATTTGTGTCATAATTAATGTAAAACCACTGTTAAAGATGCACATACTTAACAATACCTAAAATAGAAAAGCATACAAAAGTAAAACCGTGTCATGCAGTCAAGAAATGTACATAAACATAAGCTTTCTGTATTACTTGTTCCTTCACTTATACATTTTACGAAATTAATAGTTAGACATGAAAACTATTTCAGGTGTTATTCATAATTACCTGGCGTGGGTATCTGACTCTCCTCATTATATCCTCACGGTCGGCGGGACTATGTTGTCCAAGAAGTTCACTTACTTTCCTCAATGTTTGACTCTTGTGAAGCTCTGTTGCATTTCCGGTTTCCACATACGTCATCTCTTCAACGCACCAATCAGGAACGTGACCGGACAGTTCGATACATGCATAGAGTGCTTCATAAAGCATAGCATACTTCTCTTCATTGTCAGAGTCTCTTATTTTGTTAATATCCTGAAATGATACTACGTTCTCATCCCAGCCAGGTGGCGCAGTAGCCCAGTCAACTACTTTCTTTCCTTGTACCTCTTTCACAAGCCTAGTTACTAACTCGCGAATGGTTTTCATGTCATTCAACGGCGGCCCTGGGTGTTTTTCTATATCACCCGAGTTCCATAGTAACAACAAAGCAGCTTTACCAAAATAATGTTTTAACCGTAACTGTTTTTGTAATGCTGACCTACTTAGGATGCTACAAAGGAGAACTATATACGCAAGGAGAGTAAAGATCGCCTTAACAAAGCTTTTACGTTCTTTCACGTCCAAAGCTTCCTCCTGTGAAGAAAAATCATTGATATTAAAATCTTTTCTAAATTGATCTGTTATTGAAGTTTTGTATTAATCCACACTGAGTTAAGCGTTTTGCTAATGAAGTTGTAATAATAAAACAGGTCATGTTAGTGAGACGAGCATTTGTGCTATTTTTTGTTTTAAAAAAGATTCAGATAAATTTCAGCATTAGTTTAAATTGTCGCGACAGATCTTGATTTCGAAACATCCCGACAAAAAGCAATAAATTTGAACGTTAAAAACTAAACAAAGATGCTCACACCAATTTTGTTTACAATTAAACATTGAGATGCGAATATCCTTTTACATTGAACAGGTGTTATTTAAAAGAGTAGAGTTTACAGATCCGTTGTATTTTGGTGTGGGTGTATATACGCAATACTTCTTCCCTAAGTTTGATTTTATTAAACACCATTTTGAAAAGACCAACGTAATATATTTAGGCGATTTGTCTTACACTGCATAATAATATTACCAATTTATGGTGTTTTATAAATTCAAACATAGGGAAGAAGTATTGTGTATATACACCCACATCACAACTTCTATTTCAAAAGTGAAAATTGGAAAATAAAATACAACAGGTCTTTAAACTCTAATGTTGACCTTTCCTCGCATATCATTATCTTAAATTTAATGATACCAAAATAACAATGCAAATTATCATTGTTTAAAATACTACAAATGGTAGTTTTTCCTTGTTAATTTACATGCATCGGTGTTTTATGAATGAGAGTGGGTTTACTTATAGGTTTGAACAGTCAAGAATAATTATTAAAATTTCTTACATATTTGCTAAGAAAATGTGTTATTTACCAAATTTTCTATGACTTCTTGCTGAAAAAGGGATTTAAAATTACAGCTATTGTAAGATGTTATTAGATTCATGGCAGTTATTTACGTTTGAATTAAATATTGCAGAAAATTAATCCTGCTTCTAATCTAATTAGCTGTTATAATTTAATTATATAAATTTGATATTTTAAAGGATTGATCTGTCACAGTTATTTCATCATTTACAAAGTACGAACTATACAGTTGTAAATTCTGATAGGTATTCTTCTTCGGGCTAAAGTTTCTATAACAACACTAACATGGTTTAACAGGTGAGAACATTGTAATTGTCAAGTGTCATATAACCTATTCAATAGAAATGGTACTGACGCATTCTGTTACTTCCATAAATATTAATAAAGACTACCCTATCTTGATAACTTCTTCCTACATTATGAAATTTCAATAAAACGCTGTTATGATATCTTCTGATTTAAATTTATTGAAATCAATTACGTGGACTGAAGTCTTTTATCTCTTGAATTTCTATTTAAAATTATATTTTTTCAGTTTTTTAGGAAAAGGAATGCATGAGACAGTTATAATTTGCTAATAAAAGTAGATAAAAATATAATATTCACAGAACATGCGTAATCATTGTTTCAAACCATTACGATACTGAATATCTTTTATTCAAATCAAATGCATCATAAGAAATATTCTATGTCAACAGAATACTTCCGGATGAAATTTGACATTGACTAGATTCATGTCATGAATTCTTTTCTCTGTGGTTTATATCTATTATCGAATTTTAAGTTATTGCGAAATGTTGGTAAAGCAAATTAACAACTTACCTGCAACATCATCTCTTCTGAGACCTTAAAGAAGAATTGAAATGATATTCAGTTTTGAGATCTGACTTGATTGCATGCTATTATTCACATCAATAAATTATACATAAAATGCTAACTCAGGAATTTGTTTGAACTTCCATGAAATTATTTTGTTCATGAAATATGAATTATTATTATTTCTAGCACTCATGATTCTGTATCATTCTTTAAAACCATCAAAAATCTATATCTTTCCTCATGTATCATTAGATTTTAAATGAGGCTGACATTGAAATTACCCCCGGTATTTTATCTATTCATCTTAATAGGCCATTTGATAGGTTTTTTTAATAATTGATTAATTCAAAACATCGATTCACAGAACCCTTGTTACTCACCAGCTGAAGTGCCCATCCAATCATCGGCTGTATGATGATCATTTAAAATGAAACGTCAAAGAGAAAATTGGATACGATTAAAACCAATACATTTATGCTGAAGTGATTTTGAAGTAGAATGTAAGAATCAGCTCTTATCTTGATTTTCTCCATTTTGAAAAGACCAGCATGATATATTTAGGCGATTTGTCTTACACCACATTATTACATTGTCAGTTACCCAAAGTATTTTATCTATTCATCTTAATAGGTCATTTGATGGGTTTTTAATTATTGATATCTTAATTCAAAACACCCGATTCACAGAATCCTTGTTACTCACGTTCAGGCGTGCCTTCTCACGTTGCAGCTGTATGATGATCATTCAAATAAAACGTCAAAGAGAAAATATCATACGATTAAAACCAATACATTTATGCTGAAGTGATTTTGAAATATAATGTGAAATTTAGCTTTTGTTTTGATTTTCTCCGTTTAAAAAAGAACAACGTTATATGTGTAAGCAATTTGTCTTGCACTTCATGATTACATTGTCAGTTATATTACATGGTCATATTCACGGAAAACGAAATAAAACAAATTAAAACACTGATGGTTGTTAGTTTCTGGTTTACTGTAAATGCATGCTTCAAGTTAACCGTCGGTGTCAGCATAATGGTTGATAGGTTAACATTAAAATCTTCCATATCACTTCTTTCTCTATGGTACTCGTTAATCATTAATGGTGCCTTATATATTCAAACATACGGTATAAGTAATGTGTAAATGAATGCATTAACATTGAAAGGTCTTTAAACTCTACTGTTGACCTTTCCTCGCGTATTTATAATCTCAAATGTAATGATACAAAACGAAATATAACTAATTCAAACCCTAATGGTTGTTTCTGATAATTGTTCTTTATCGGGCTTAAGTTTCAATTACAGCACTACATTGGATTAACACTGTAATTGTCAAGCGTCATATAACCTGATCAATAGAAATGGTACTGATGCAGTCTGTTTTTCCCCTTAACTATTGATAAAGACTACGTATTACGTACCCCTTTCTTGTTCTCTTCTTCCTACATAAAGAAATTTCAATAGAACGCTGTTATTAAGGGAAGAGAATGCAAGAGATAATTATAATTTGCGAAAAAGTGTTGATAAAAATGTTAAATTCACAGAACATGCGTAATCATTGTTTCAAACCATCGGATACTTAATATCTTTTATTCAAATCAAATACATCATAAGAAATGTTCTATGTCAAAAGAATTCTTTCAGATGAATTCTGATATTCACTAAATCCATGTCATGAAATCTTTTCTCTGTGCTTTATATCCAATATCGAATCATTAGTTATTGCGAAATGTTGGTAAATTAAATGAACAATTCACCTTCATCTCCTCTTCGTGCTTAAAGACAAATTGAAATGATATTCAAATTTGAGATCTGACTTGATTGAATGCCATTATTCACATCAACAAATTATTTATTAAATGCTAACTTTGATGTTGATCGTGATTTTATCTAAAGTGCTAATATCATTACACGATTACTAAGAAATTTGTTGGAACATCCATGATATTATTCTGATCATTCAAATCGAAACGTCATCGAGAAAATACGATTAAAATCAATACATTACGCTGAAGTGAGTTTGAAATAATATGTTAAATTCAGCTTTTATTCTTATTTTCTTCATTTTGAAAAGACCAACGTTATATATTTAGTCGATTTGTCTTACACTACATGATGATATTGTCAGTTATATTACTTGGTCATATTCACAGATAAACAAAATATGGTCATATTCACAGATAAACAAAATATAACTAATTCAAACCCTTATGGTTATTAGTTTCTGGTTTACTGAAAATCCATGCCTCAATTTACTTCGGTGTAAGCATATTGGTTGATAGTTTAACATTACCATCGGTAGGATGTACTTCCAAATCACCGCTATATGGTACTCATTAATCATTAACGGTGTTTTATAAATTTAAACATATGGTTTAAGTATTGTGTATATACACCAACATCAACATTTCTATCTGTAAAGTGAGAATGGAAAAAATAAATCTGTTGTTATTAAAGATGCCAAGTATTGCAAAGTTTCTTTTATGTCGACGGAAGAACATAATGTATATATGGAAATTCTACTAATTTTAAAATATTGGAAAAACAAAAAATTAACTTACCTTTGTGTCAATCACTACTTTCTGCAAAAGAAGGATTTGAAATAAATTGCTGTTGTAAAATCGAATGTAATTGAATGATAATATTTATGCAAAATCAATGAAGTCGTCTCAGGAAGACCTTGTGTTGTTTATATTGGTGTTTTTTTTTCAATTAAGGATCTAAATACTGTACAACTGATGTCTCTGCCTTGAGTTTTGACCAAAATTGCGTCTCAGTTAAATTTCTTCTTCTGCACTTTGACAATATATACTCGAGAATATTGATTGTGCATAATATTAGCAAAGCATGAAGACGTTATGGCTGAATGAATTGTCGGTCATTTATAAAGGGAATTGCCCTCGTAATGAGTATTTTTATTTCAAAATGAGGGATGAAAAATTGTTAAACAGCATAAATATTTTGATCTATAAAATGAATATTTGAAAACAAGATGCTGCAGTGAAATATGATATGATTATAAAAGTTAACCGTTGTCTGTGACTTTTGACCATTTTGACGTGTTTTAACCTTTTTCTTATGTTGTGCTATATCTCGCTATTTCTCTTTTTCTTAACCTGGCTAGTTAATACATAGATATTTCTGGTAAGTTATAATGTAACATGATGGAGAGTATAACTTTTATTTCTGCTAATTGTCAGTGTATCGGGGACAAAATTAAAAGAATAGACCTTTTCTCATACTTAAAATCGAAAAAAATATTGTATTTATTGTCTACAGGACACTCGTTTTACTGAAGAGAACCAGAATATTATCAGAAATGACTGTGGGTTCGACTGTTATTTTAATTAATTCAAGTCCAATGTCAGGGGGGTAGCTATTCTTATAAATAATAATTTTGAATTTAAGGTGAAAAGGGGGAGGAAAGAGCTGTCAGGAAATTTGTTAGCCCTTGATATTTAATAGAGGGTTCACATGTTACATTGATCACGCTATATGACCCAAATACAGACACACCTAATTCTTTTGATATTTTAACTGACACAATTGACGACTTTGGAAATGACAAATTTATTATATGTGGAGATTTCAACTTAGTATTAGATCCTGAGTGAGATTATGACAAAAGCTATAAGAACATTAATAATAAAAAAGGAAGAGAAAAAGTTATTGAAATTATGGAAAACTATTCAATGGTAGACATTTTTAGAGATTTGCATCAAGATATTAAAAGATATACCTGGAGAAAGAAGAACCCATTAAAACAGTCTTCATAAATCAGCTATTGAATCAGGTTACAGGGCCGACCTCTCATTCCCAATAATTGTTTTAAAATTGAATGAATTCAAGCGGGGAAAGGGATTGTGGAAATTTAACTCATCTCTTTTATATGAGGAAGAGTATCATCAAATGGTGAAAAATATATATTTTAGAAACAAAAACTCAGTACTCTTTGCCAGTGTATAATCTTAATGCTATGATGAATATACCAGATACAGAAATAGAATTTGTAATTGATGACCAACTTTTTCTTGAAACTTTATTAATGGAAATCAGAGGTAAAAGTATTTCTTATTCATCTTATAGAAAGAAACAGCAAAGTAGGAAGGAAGATGATCTTAAGAGAAAAATACAAACTATTGAACAGCAGGAACATGTAGACATGGAAGATTTAGAAATTAAGAAAAGGGAATAACACAGTTATGGACTTTATCTGAACTGTTAAACGTAACTGAATTTTTAAAGCAAACATAGATATTCAAACACTGAGATTTTCGATACAAAACACAAATAAGATTACGTTATATTCAAACAAGATACTATTGGCCGATAAGATTAATTTTATCATAAACGACTTAGAAAACTAAATATATCATAGAATACCACTGTTGGAGGCTTGATGTCTCAAAATACAATTGTTGCATACATGAATCTAATCAAATCAGTATTTTCCTATCTTACAATAGTGTTAGATCACGGACTTAGATAACAAATAATATAAATAAAATATATATAATCTAATTCCGTGGTTAGATATATATCTAGATATATTTTATGTAGATATTTTAAAATGGTCTCATAAAAAAATACGGTATATAAAGGTAAAGTGGGCAAAAAAAAAAGCTTACCTTTGTAGATACCATCAACGGAAACCTTTTAGTTGACACATGTACCTTGAACGAAATCATTTTCCCTCCTGTTCTCCCAATTTTTTCCACATGAGAAGGCTCTTTCGCTGTATTGACCTCACACGAACTTTTGGAATCCATGTCCTCGCAGCAAGCGTCACTATCCAAGAACGTCATGTGTAATTCACCTGTAACACGTAGATACTTAAATAACATGGACAGGAATTATATTAACTAATAAATCATAACTAAACTGCTTCTTATTGGCTGAGAGTTCAACGCATGAAAATATTTGCCATAATCACCGGATTTTCCGATGATTATCAAATGCTTTATATATTCATTGGGTTAATATTTTTGAATTCCTCTTTATTATGTTGAAACAATTACATTTTATTTGGGGAATATTGTATTGGTCAAAATGACAGCATATTCATCATGTAAAAAGGTCATAATGGTATAGATATTGTATTTGTTCAAACAAATATTAAGACGAAATATTTTGATATAGCAATCCACAGATATTTACTTTCTCTTTCAGATAACTAGAAACATAAGCTGTATAGTAACTTGATTTGCCAGCCTGCTTACGACTGTTGGAATTATCAGACAAGCGCTAGTGAAAGATTCTTTTGTTTTAGCATTCAACTTATCTCTTTCAAAATATTAACCTTGGGTTGAGATATCTCTGTCTTCATCACACAAGAGTAATAGATTTTAATTGTCAATGATATACTGCCGTTGTTACGACATTAAGATACATGAGGTAGCAGAGTACAGTAGCGTACGGTGGCCATGGGTAATATTTTTATACAATGAATAACCCCTGTAATATAACATGTATCAAAATTTAAAAAAAAAATCAGCACTAAAATTGGCATATACATGATGAAGTGGACTATGTGGGCTTCATAATTTTTCAAAACAAAATATTCGAATTTGGTTTGAGACTACAATTTTGGGCATTTACAAATCTGTGTCTACACAACAAAAGCTAGCNAAGTTTACAAATATATATATATATGTAGGTGTGTTGTGCAGGATGAATCCGCTATCCATGTTTATCTGAGACATGCCCTTTATTTTTAGGGTCAAGCCATTTCTACTGTACTCTGCCACCTTATACACACAGACATTGATTTTTTCTGAAAAAAAGCCTTTTAATGCTTTATTCAGCTTCACTTTCATTCATTATTGCTTAAAACTACTCTAAACGTTTAAAAAGTTACATATAATGGTCAATATATAGGTCAATAGCCTATTATCTGTGGATGTATAAAGAGGGGTTAACTCGCCCTTTTCACAGGCACTTCACACTTCATCCCATATGTGTCAATTGTGTAATTGGTAAAGTTGATACCAAACAACAAATAATTCACAGGCTATCTCCTGATGCATTCAGACTAGATTTCAGTCTGTTTCCCTTAGTTCAGCACCCGGTATCCATGGTAACTAACACATAAAGTTGTATTTATTGAAAATGGGTAAAATATCTGTTTTCATTCTAATTACACTATTTTATATGTTTTTTTCCACTTGATTCATCATACAGATTAAATTAGCAAAGTCAATAATGTCAATAAATTTTATTTCCATAATTACAGCTGAAACAAACTTTTTTTTCTAGTGAAATATGTTAAATGACCAATGTCTGGGGTCACTGTCAATTCTAGGCGAGGAAAGTAAACAACGGTTGCTATGGTGTCATTTGTCTGATGTTTCAGAATATCTGACATTTTTGTGCTGTTCATCGGTTACGGGAAGTGTGTCTAGTTTGTTGTTGTGATGGGTTTCCTGGTATTCATTTTGATATCAGTGAGCCTTGATGATGTCACAGATGCCCATTGATGACGTCATAGTTATGATGACATCACAGTAACTATGACATCATCACACAAGACAGAAACAGCCTTGTATCACTGTACTGTTTTGTTTTTCTCATGCACATGATCTTAAAGCATCATATTTTACCCAAAAAGAAATTTTATTCCTGAAAACTAAAAAGTTATTCAAGTTTTAATTTTACAGATTACCTCCCTTTATTGGTAGTTTGAGAGCAGAATTGGTAAAAAATCACCAATCAGGAGAATTCATATTACTCGGTCACTTTTAAAATGAGAAAGGAAACGGATACATCTTTTTGTTCATTGTGTCATTTTCCAGACATTTAAAAGGTTTTGATTAAATTTTTTGGGAAAAAAAGGGATGTATAAGGTAGCAGAGTACAGTAGCGAACGGTGGCCATGGGTGGTATTTTTATACAATGAATAACCCCTGTAATATAACATGTATCAAAATTTAAAAAAAAACAGCACTAAAATTGGCATATACATGATGAAGTGGACTATGTGGGCTTCATAATTTTTCAAAAAACAAAAATCCGAATTTGGTTTGAGACTACAATTTTGGGCATTTACAAATCTGTGTCTACACAACAAAAGCTAGCTTTTCATGTAGTCTATTTTTGTACTCAGCACATGTGTAAATATTGTGAAAAATCCACCGGAATCACCTATGCTAAAACATGAGTATTTCTGTTACCGAGTAGGCGATATTTAATTTCAGACAGGTTTTAAGAAAAACAATTCTACTTGCGGGGGTCAAATTCTGGGTTAAAAGTCATGTTTTTTTGCATATTTTGGTGTTTTTTGATGTGGTAACCATGGTTTTCAGAAGTCCCAAATCTGGGGAAATCACTTTTTGATGTTCTTCTAAAAAACACCTATTCAAAATGAAGTTTACAAATATATATATATATATGTAGGTGTATTGTGCAGGATGAATCCGCTATCCATGTTTATCTGAGACATGCCTTTATTTTTAGGGTCAAGCCATTTCTACTGTACTCTGCCACCTGAATACAACTTATAATCCTTAATTTAACCAACCTTCTTTAAAACCATTTTTAAGAATGGCCCCAGGAATTTATAACTTCATCAGTTCTATTTAATTGGCTTTATTCTTATAAATAATAAATTGGATGTTATGTTCCATAACATGGTTGACTGCGAAATCATTTATATATAATGCACCGAACATTAACGTGATTGTATTGTTTAGCCTTTAAACACTTCCAACACACAATTATACACCAATTTGTATCGAATACACAAAGAATTGTGTAATGTTCAGGAAGACGCTTACCTTAATATTCCGAAATATAGACAGTCCTATTCCTTCAACAAACACTACTGATTTTTGACGGGACAGACTCGCGTTTCATATATGTAGGTGAAACACTGGTAATTTCCATTACCTCATTCACTTAGCTGTATGATCTACCAATCAGGGGCTTGTATGCTTAAGCAGAGCTTAAAAACAACTATATTGTAGATGTAGGTGCTGCCCATAGTGAAACACATACCCTACTATTAAGATTATGCTTTTATGGATTTTGAGCAATACATTACTTTAAAAATTTAGAATATCAGAAAAAAACTTGGTGGACTAAATAATTTTGGGAAGAAATATTTCCACAGCATTTAACACAATGCTTCAGCACATTTAAATTACATATAACAAGACAATGTTTGTAATATGTAAAGCAGAATAAAACATTATATTTTTAATTCTTTAACCCTAGTTATAACCTGACATGATCCACTCCATTCAGGTCTGCCCTAAAAGAAATACACAAAACTCGCACCTGAAAGAAGATACCCTGGCAGTATTTATATAGAAAATCTGAAAAAAAACTCATCACATTTTCTAAATCACCGACAGTTCGATTCAAATCGAAGTAATGACAACTGAAAAATGTACTGCCCCCCAGTTAATGTGGAAGGGACTATAATTTCTCAGTTGCCAAAACTATTTTTGTTGGGCCAATGAATACGTGTACCTCACTTTTGACAACTTTTAGTCTCTCGAGCAAGACTTTAACCGCCATTGGCAAGCAGTCGACCTTCCATTTCAGGCACTGCTGCACAGCTAAGAACTAAGGGGAACCTACATATAAAATTTGAGAAAGATCCCTCTGGTACTTCCCGAGAAATAGTGGTAACAAACTTTCACTATCAAAATCAAAGATGGCTGCCTGTCGGCCATGTTGTTTATCCGATCAGTCTCAAAATGTTGCCCTGCACAGCTTAGGACCAAGGGGAAGCTACGTATAAAATTTGAGAAAGATCCCTCTGGTACTTCCCGAGAAATAGTGGTAACAAACTTTCACTATCAAAATCAAAGATGGCTGCCTGTCGGCCATGCTGTTTATCCGATCAGTCTCAAAATGTTGCCGTGCACAGCTAAGGACCAAGGGAAGCCTACATATAAAATTTGAGAAAGATCCCTCTGGTACTTCCTGAGATATAGTGGTAACAAACTTTCACTATCAAAATCAAAGATGGCTGCCTGTTGGCCATGCTGTTTATCCGATCAGTCTCAAAATGTTGCCCTGCACAGCTTAGAACCAAGGGGAAGCTACATATAAAATTTGAGAAAGATCCCTCTGGTACTTCCCGAGAAATAGTGGTAACAAACTTTCACTATCAACATCAAAGATGGCTGCCTGTCGGCCATGTTGTTTATCCGATCAGTCTCAAAATGTTGCCGTGCACAGCTAAGGACCAAGGGAAGCCTATATATAAAATTTGAGAAAGATCCCTCTGGTACTTCCTGAGAAACAGTGGTAAAAACTTTCACTATCAAAATCAAAGATGGCTGCCTGTCGGCCATGCTGTTTATCCGATCAGTCTCAAAAGTTGCCTTGCACAGCTAATAAAAGGACAAAGGGGAGACTGCATATAGAATTTGAGAAAGATCCCTCTGGTACTTCCCGAGAAATAGCCATAATAAGTTTTCACTATCAAAAACAAAGATGGCTGCCTGTCGGCCATGTTGTTTATCCGATCGGTCTCAAAAGTTGGCCTACACAGCTAAGGACCAAGGGGAAGCTACATATAAAATTTAAGAAAGATCCCGATAGTACTTCCCGAGAAATAGTGATAACAATCTTTCACTATCAAAATCAAAGATGGCGGCCTGTCGGCCATGTTGTTTATCCGATCAGTTTCAAAAATTGCCTTGCACAGCTTAAGACCACGGGGAGGCTACATATAAAATTTGAGAAAGATCCCTCTGATACTTCCCGAGAAATAGTGATAACAAAAGTCTCAAAAAATGCCTTGCACAGCTAAGGACCAAGGGGAGCCTACATATAAAATTTGAGAATGATCCCTATGTTACTTCCTGAGAAATAGGGATAACAAACTTTCACTATCAAAATCAAAGATGGCTACCTGTCGGCCATGTTGTTTATCCGATCAGTCTCAAAAGTTGGCCTACACAGCTAAGGACCAAGGGGAAGCTACATATAAAATTTAAGAAAGATCCCTCTGGTACTTCCAGAGAAATAGTGATAACAATCTTTCACTATCAAAATCAAAGATGGCTGCCTGTCGGCCATGTTGTTTTTCCGATCAGTCTCAAAAGTTGGCCTGAACAGCTAATATAAAGACCAAGGGGAGCCTGCATATAAAATTTGAGAAAGATCCCTCTGGTATTTCCAGAGAAATAGTGGTAACAAACTTTCACTACCAAAATCAAAGATGGCTGCCTGTCGGCCATGTTGTTTATCCGATCAGTCTCAAAAGTTGGCCTACACAGCTAAGGACCAAGGGGAAGCTACATATAAAATTTAAGAAAGATCCCGATAGTACTTCCCGAGAAATAGTGATAACAATCTTTCACTATCAAAATCAAAGATGGCGGCCTGTCGGCCATGTTGTTTATCCAATCAGTCTCAAAAATTGCCTTGCACAGCTTAAGACCACGGGGAAGCTACATATAAAATTTGAGAAAGATCCCTCTGATCCTTCCCGAGAAATAGTGATAACCAAAGTCTCAAAAAATGCACTGCACAGCTGAGGACCAAGGGGAACCTACATATAAAATTTAAGAACGATCCCGATAGTACTACCCGAGAAATAGTGATAACCAAAGTCTCAAAAAATGCCTTGCACAGCTAATAGTAGGACCAAGGGGAGCCTCAAAATAAAATTTGAGAATGATCCCTATGTTACTTCATGAGAAATAGTGATAACAAACTTTCAATATCAAAATCCAAGATTGCTGCCTGTCGGCCATGCTGTTTATCCGATCAGTCCCAAAAGTTGCCTTGCACAGCTAAGGACCAAGGGGAGCCTACATATAAAGTTTGAGAACGATCCCTATGTTACTTCCTGAGAAATAGTGATAACAAACTTTCACTATCAAAATCAAAGATGGCTGCCTGTCGGCCATGTTGTTTATCCGATCAGTCTCAAAAGTTGCCTTGCACAGCTAATATTAGGACCAAGGGGAGCCTGCATATAAAATTTGAGAAAAATCCCTCTGGTACTTCCCGAGAAATAGCGATAACAAACTTTCACTATCAAAATCAAAGATGGCTACCTGTCGGCCATGTTGTTTATACGATCAGTCTCAAAAATTGCCTTGCACAGCTAAGGACCAAGGGGGGCCTACATATACAATTTGAGAAAGATATCTCTGGTACTTCTTGAGAAATACAGATAACAAGAATTGTTTAAGGACGACGGACGCAGGGTGATTTGAGTAGCCCACCATCAGATGATGGTGGGCTAAAAAGTATCAGACGAGTTTCTTACAGGCCATTTGATATCCAGATTTTCGCAAAAGTTGTGTCAATTCAATACCAATATATATTTTATGAATAACTACAGTTGAAGAAATAACTTTGGCAGAAAGTGTTTCTATAATATAAGCTTGTGACTATCTACTCGTAACATATTTAGCAGAATGCATAGTCAGTGCACAGTGTCACGTTACAATCACACATATGCTATACTGATATGGGTCACAACACGCATACACATAAATGTACGTATGTTTATGTGTGTTGTGACCCATATCAGTATAGCATATGTGTGATTGTAACGAATACAGGTCGTTCCGGCTCCCAAGTTGTTCCGTCCATAGTCGTTCCGACCTTAGTAGTTCTGGCCCCTTCCCGGTCCGGCCGCGTATACTTAGTCGTTCCGACCCCTACCCGGTCCGGCCGCGTATACTTAGTCGTTCCGACCCCTACCCGGTCCGGCCGCGTATACTTAGTCGTTCCGGCCTCATATATTATATATATGATTCATGTTTATTTGGAATTAAATTTTGCATTAAATTTATTTAAATAATGGATAATACATGTTACTAATTCACAAAAATAAAATAAAAAATTGTACATTTGTTGTCTTTTCATTTTACATGTTGTCTAAAACAAAATACACCTGTGTAAACGTACGGAGTAAGATTGCTTTTAAAGACACGTTACAATACTGTCTTTTGTTTATCTTATTACCTCGTGCGTTGGAAACTGTATGGCTTCTAGAAGACGCTGTGTAAACACCATTGGTGTATAGTCTACCGACGTTGTTTTTACTTTTAGTTGATAAAAGATGTTGAATCTTTTTGTCATCACATCTTGTTGAAATCTATCATTGTCGATCTTCCAAGTGTGAAGATGCAAATTTGTATGATTTCAACTAAACAAAGTATAGATATCATTACATATAGATTACGTACATATTAGTTATATTTATAAGATATATTTTATCATTACGTATAAGTAAGTTATATTTGTTAAGATATATTTTATCATTACGTATAAGTTAGTTACATGTATAATTGTTAGATATATTTTAAGAGCGTAGCTCTTCTTGCGCCAAAGGCGCAAGAAGCGAAGCTCTTTTCCGGTAACATGTGTACGAACAATTGAAGTCATGGTAACATCGAAATACTATGCTTCCAAAATCCTTCGTCACAGAAGTAGCTAGTATAGAGTTACCGCGGTCCTATTTCTACAATGCTGTTTAGCTTTGCTACACATTCTCAAAAATATCTCTTTATTTGATATTTTTTTTCTATGGTTAGGTAAATTCATGACATTAAAAATAATAGAAACTGAAGCTTCTTTCAAATTTTCAGTCTTTTCTTCTCTCCACCTAAACCGGAAGTATATATTAACTACCAAACCGGACGGAAATCCAGATATTTTTGGGCTATTGTGATTCTCTTTTTACACGATTTATAGGGATCAGGCTAAGTATATCATGTCGGAAAATAAAATTAGAATTTAATCACCAATATACTTAACTTTTATAATAACAGATAATAACAGTTATATTTAATAAACAATACATCTTCAAATATGAAGTCCCTCTACTAGGCCTCACTCTTTCCGCAACATTACCCTGAGGCCATAGACGGGGCAATTAAATGCAACAGTAACAAATGCATTTGTGTTTTCTCTTGAACTGCATAATTCATTCGAATGTTTTTCTTTACTTATTATTAATTTTACATTAGTTACTTGATCGCTATAAAACGAATAAATAGATATTATTTTAAATAATGATATTTAGAAAATAAGACTGAAAAAACCCCAGTATTTAGACGCTTCTCTCGTTTCAGGCAATGCCTGTTTTCAAAATGAATGATTTTGCCTAGCAACAGATTCAAGTATATTATAAAAAAAACAATTACAGGTAAATTTTGAATGTATTAAAATGGGTAATGTTATGATTAAAAAAATATAGTATACTATCGAAACAAACGTACGAGCTGCGCTCTCTCCAGGCCATGCCTGAGTCATATTATCATTACGTATATGTTAGCTATAATTGCAAAATGTAAAACTGTTACATCCAAATTTATGTAAACATTCGATCCATGCATAAAACATAGTTCAATGATGATATGTGAAGGAAAACACTATATAGAGGCCGGAACGACTAAGGGACCGGAACTACTAGGTACGGACCGGGTAAGGCCGGAACTACTAAGGGGCCGGACCGGGAGAGGCCGGAACGACTTGATACGATTGTATTGTGACACTGTGGTCAATGCATTTATATAATTACGGTTCATTTTTTTCTTCATTATTTTATATTCGAATGAATGTAATTTACTGTCTCTAGTTCTAATAAAGTCGGAATATTGAGGTAACAGTAAGTTAGGATAACAAATATTTGAACAAAGGAACGGATATATTTCTCAGACGGAATACAAGCGCTAACTCACCACAGCTCTGTGGTATCCTCCAATCATACAGGCAGTGATGACAATCCCTTCCTGAAACTGCTCCGCTAAACCATTAGCAGGTACGTATACGTCTGTACAGTCTATGATCCTCGTCATGATCCTCACTCGGAACACCTCGGTTATCTTCCCCTGTCCCTACTAGTAGTTGGAACCAACCCCGGGAATTCCGGAACCGTGTAGCATCACCACATTGGTGTCAGCCAATGAAAAACATCTTTGCTTAAGCAGAGTTTAAAAATAACTTGCATACATAGGGACAATCCGGTAATCTCGGACAATTCACAATAAAGCTTGGGGCCTTCTCGTTGTTTGTACATGTGCGTTTGTAACATTTTCAAGCATTTCATTGAATGTGATTATCGGAGATTCCAATGGTAGCAGCTAGCTCTGTACAGTAGAAATGGCTACACCCTAAAAATAAAGGACATGTCTCGGATAAACGTCATGGATAGCGGATTACACCTACATGTATAAATATATTTATAAATTACATTTTTCAAAATGTGATTTCCCCAGATTTGGGACGTGTGAAAACCATGGCTACCACATCAAAAAACACCAAAATATGCAAAAAATCATGATTTTAACCCAAAATTTGACCCCCGCAAGTAGAATTTTTTTATTTTAAAACCTGTTTGAAATTAAATATCGCCTACTCGGTAACAGAAATACTCACGTTTTAGCATGGGTCAATTACAATCTACATGAAAAGCTAGCTTTTGTTGTGTAGACACAGATTTGTAAATGCCCAAACTGTAGTCTCACACCAAATTCGATTTTTTTTAAACAATTATGAAGCCCACATAGTCTACTTCATCATGTATATGCCAATTTTAGTGCTGATTTTTTTTTAAACTTTGATACATGTTATAAGAGCGAAGCTCTTTAATGGTAACATATGCGTGCGTAAACAGAGTTGCTTCCCCTTTCTACACCTTGCCCTTGATTTTTTTCGTCCGGAAGTAGCCCTCCAGTGGGGAAACCGGATATGTATCCTTGAAGCAAAGACAATATTGAGTTTCACCCCATACATGAACATCTTTATATAGTGAAAACAATACCCATTTTTATTACTGGTTTATTTAGATAAAAACATTCTGTGTGAAAAAAAATCTATCACATAAATTTTGATACTGGCATGAAACGTCGTTCAGAGATTATCATACGATGACGTCACAATCACGCCACACTCCATCGGCCTTCATCGGGTATTTCCGGACAGATGAAAAATAACCGGGAAATCTTGGAACTGATGGCCGTTGCATTTATCTCTTTGTCGTTGCTTCATGACTTTTTAATTTCAGTTTTTGACACAGGCACAAAAAGTAAAAACGCGGATGTTTTCTGAAGATCCTTTTTGTTATCAACCAGGTTCTGTTAATATTTCTACCGGGGAATATTTTCAAAAAGAGCCGCATTAAACCAATAGGTAAACGTGTACATTTATTTTTCATCGTCTAAAATTTCATCATCTTTTGATTTCCATTTATTAAGGATATGAACGAAATAATTAACATTTTTGAAAGTCCGGTTATAGTCTTTACATAATTTATATATGCATCACCACTCATAAAAGAAACAATGGATAATTCATTTATGTCGAAATCAACAATCAACGCCCTTTTTCTTTTTCAGCAACGTATAACTTATAACTATAGTTACAGACAGAAACTGTTTAATTGTATTTGGCATCATTACATGTTAAACCTCATTGACAGTTACAATTTTTTTAATTCAATCCGGTGTTTCAGGATGGAACAGGAATTCTTAACATCGATATAACGACAATCTCAATTCTACATCAAATTATTGCAATGTTTTCCGTTTTTTAATTTCATTTTTTTAACTAACAAATCTATACATTTACTTTTATAGACATATGGTCAAATATGTAATATGCACTTTTTTCTATAGCAATTACCAAACAGTTTTTTCCCACCTTATTTGATTCATTCTTTTTGTGACCTCACGGAAGCACGCAGAGGATTTAATTCTTAATGTGGGAGGAAGACGGAGTATCCGCAGAAAACCCGCGTGGTCGGGCAGGTAACCGGGATTGAATCCGGCCATCTTGGTGAAGACGAGCGCGCTATCCACTGCGCCGACCGACCGATCATATACGTTACGCACAAGAACAACTATCTGCTTTAGCTTTGAAAATGGCGTCATTGATGCAAAAAATAAATTGTGTATACATTTTTACCAATCATCAACGATGCAAAAATCTACATATGGGAGACCGGGGAAAGTTGGGCCACCCCTGATAAAAAAAATTTGAGCTAATATTTACAACTTTAAAGATCTTAGCAGTTTCGTTGGCTAGGCATTCACATGAAAAAATGGCAAGGAAAACTCTAATGTAAAATTACTAAACAAATTACTTTTGAGAAAGAAATCATGATCTCGCTTCTAGTGATTCGAACTAACGTGTAACACACTGACAGATTCAAATGATATACATGGACATAAAAGCAAATCCAAACACTCACTACCATATTGCTGTACGATAAGAATTTATTGAAATATCAATTTGGGCCCGGAAAGTTTCGGCCAATGATACCGTGGCAAGTTCGGCCCATGTAACACATAAAAAGTCGAAAAGTTGGCGGGAAAATATGACGTTGCATGCTTTATACCGTCATAATTAAGCTGATTGCCGACAGGTAAACAATAAATAATGTTCAAAAACGGACGTGCTGCCATACTTCCAGGAACGGACTTTAATAAAAATGGGCCGAATTTGCCCCGATCTCCCCTATTGTTATGTCGGTCTTAATCTCATTAGAGTTTATGTTTTATTGTTATCACTCGACTAGCCACCTCAGCTCTCTAAATAAAACTATGTATAGGCCCCTTATTAATTGTTATTCATTAACCAGCCCAAAATACAGAATTTTACATAGAATATATCTCGATCGATTTTTTTCAAAATACATCATGAAATGAACTTACCTTTGGACAACTTCATGTAACTAATTTATTTATATCATATTTGGTACCAACAATTGTTTACCTTTTTACCAAAACGGATATAAACTGGATGAATGTATTGTTTTCTTTATTTTAAAGAACAAGATATGTGTAATAATAAACTGCCAAGCATCAAACACACGATTACACTTTTATCGACTAGAATTTAAGAGATCAGCTGCTATAAATTACATAACGCACAATTGCATTGTAGCGTTATCTAACAAAGGATCTTGACATTGACATGTGCCTAGAAGTATTAGGTGCAAGTTCTATAGACAACTATAGAACGAACTGTTGGAACAACAAGGTTTAGTGGCACGATATAATGACTGCTATCGAATATCAATAAGTTCAAACGGATTTGTACACCACATAACGGCAATACACAAGGTAAATGGGAAAACAAACAGAAACAAAAATACAATGTTTAACGATTTCATTTGTTGTATATCTGTGTGTAAACGTTTTATGTGCCATGTTTACACTTGTGAATTTGTCTTAGCTTTCCTAATTAGTGTTTAATTGTGTATGAATTTTATATCCGGGCAGATTTGTTTATTGTTTATTTGAGTATATCCTTTCATACGTTTATAATACTTTGTGATTTTGTTTTTATTTTGTTTTTATTTTTGCAAGTTTGCTTTTATATTCGTTATATTTCTATATTGAGTCTTTATGACGAGTTGCTTTATATTGTCACTGACGTATTTTTGCATAATTCTATTGTTGTTCATGTGTGAATTAAGAAATAACCAACGTATGTGCGTTAAATATGTTGAAATATATTACGAATGTAAGAAGATATTGAATACAATATCAACGAAGACCAAGTGTGGCCTGAGCTGATTATTTGTCCAATATTTTCGAATCCCGATTTATATATTCCACCATAATATACAGACATGTGTTGATAACATCTATTCAACCATGTCATGAAACACTTCCGTGTCTACAATAGCGTCCATTTGCCTATGATAAGCAAGGTGATCCAGATAATCGATATTTTAAATTAGCCTGTTCTTTTGCGCGCGCTAATAATCGTCACATGATGCCTGCATGTTTTCATTTCACAACAAACTGCGCGTTTTTACCATTTTTTACCCCATAGACAGTGTCCTATTTTGTGTATCTAACCTGGATATATTTTGGAGGATGTTTAAAATTGTCATTCGGCATTTGGCCGACAGATGATAAACAATAAACTCTAACGTTATGCTTTATGCCGGAAGTTTGTTTCAATCAATCAAATCCGCCAATCAATATTTTCGGTCCATATATCACAGCTTTCAGAGCATTTCCTGAACATAGTTACAACTTTGGGCATCATGCCAAGGTGTTATGTCGCATACCACAATGAAAACACCATGACCTCTATTTCACCTTTGATCCTCACTCAAATACCGAAAAATATGTTTCAAGGTATACTAATTGTGTATATCAATCAACTTTTTCTGTTAGTATGGACTTAGTAACATCATACGGAGACACTGTGTCTCATATCTGCGCACGTTGGATGGAAGGTGAGCGTTGGCAATCGTGGTTGATATACATGTAAATAGAGGAATGTTTTGAACAATAACTACGATTTCGTTTCAAAACTATTTAATCTCCCGTCACCCGGGGCATTTACGTAAATTCTTAACAAGCAGGTAAGTATATTACGGATCAGCTCTCCTTACCAGTTCTGTTACCTGAGAACCAGGACCTATTCTAGACAGTTTTACATTTATAATATTGTGTATGTGTAATATGTATTGAGGCGTTGGGCACAAATGTTTTCAGTATAATACATACTTATTTTAAATCTTACGGATACTTTCCATTCAGTTAAATTGATCGACCATTAAAATGTACAAACGTACGGACATAAGGGCACAATAGGGCGAATGATTGTGTAATCGCACGATTGTGCACTCCATGTGCGGACGATGTGTGCACGTTGTGGGGTCACACAACTGAGAATACATAATTATAAGTCATTTTTAGGTGTACTGAAATGAAGTTATTGAAACTTGATCTGAATATTTACTTTCAAATTTTAACTTCAACGAATTAAAAAAAAAAGTTTTATTTAGATAGCAAAATTCGCTATATATTTCATTTTTTCCACAAAATGATGTTAACAATATAAGTCTCATTTGTATTGACCACAATATACTCGTATCTGCATTTGGCAATATAAGAGAACCAAAACGCTACATACCAATCCACTTAGAAATGTTTTTAATATTATTCTTGTATCTGCACCGGCGTATTAATTGGTCCGAGGCCCCATGTTTTTGACTGAGGCAAAGCTGAAGCTAGAGGTTATTACAGAAGACCGATATTCACGGCTATTGGGATTTTATCAATTTAATATGCTTTACATTATGATTATTCATCAATTTTGTAATTCGCATAATTTTAAGATATACTGATCGGCACGAATTAAAAAAAATGTGAACAAATTCAGGAATTATGATATAATCACATTTCAAACTATGCCTATGCAGTGCTACGAATAAAGGAATCGGGCATAAACTTGGGATGCATTTAATATTTTCATGATATGTATGGGCTTTTTCATCGAAATACTTATCATAAAACATTTACATATTCTGATATGCATGTAGTAAAAGAACATATCAATGAACCTCTTATACTTATTTAACTTTATATTCTTTGTTTAGGAATAGAAAACCTTACAGTATCAGTCGACGATGTACAGAGATAAGACCTGTATTCAACTTGATTCACTCACCAAATCATGAATTGCACTGAACGTCAAGTAATCGAAGACTTTCGTCAGAAACTTGTCAGAACTGTTGATCCAATCGCGATAGCAACTACATTATATCTACAAAAACACTGCAAGCGAGAGCTCTTTGAAAAGATCCGGGACAAAAGTGACAAAAAATCAAGTCGGGAACAGATTTGGAATACATTTTTGCCAAATATTATTCTTTTCTGCCAGTTCGGATCATTCTGGTTAGCTCTTTATACATCGGGCTATGAACTGTTATCAATCGAACTATTACTGCAATTTTGGCAACAAAATTTGAACACCGAATTAACCGCTGATCAATCTCATACTGAATGCGAAAAGCAAGGTTACTTTTTATTACTGAAAGTAAGTTTTCACGACAGAGCATTCAGAGAACCACATGAATTGTTGTATAAAACATTAGAAGGACATAGGACAAAATATGAGGAAGCCATTAACACCAGAGAGAAGGTGTGTGCCGCTGACCGTTATGCAGACTGCCTCTGTGTTGTCATCGACACTAAGGCGATGGAATTCATTGGAAAGTTACCTACCCACGAACTTTTCGATAACCTTAAAGCTATCATTCCAGAAACTTCAAATACCTCACTAACAGAAGTTGGCTATTACTCGCGACTGGCCATTGCACATGGCATGGCTGACATGTTTGAGGAAGGACGTAGATTTGTGACTAAAGCGCAAATGGCTGCTTTCCAGATTAACCAATCTGCCCAGTACGTGTATAATATGTTATACATTCATATTCACTTCCTTTGCATGCAGGCAAGCATTCCAAAATCAGCTGATATAGACGGAATCATCGATGTAGCCAAGCGATTCCTGCAGAGCATCCCCGATCAAGATGAAGGAGCAGTTTTCTGGAAAAAAATGGTCGCGCTCCGCATTGTTTGTTTTTTGCTTGGAATCAGTCACAAAGGCCACATTAACGAAAAGCAAAAAGTTGAGAAAAAACATGTTGCTCTTGCTAAGACTTTCTTGGAAGTTATTGATGCCCGTTGGGATAGGATCGAATACATACGCAGATTGTTCTATTTTGTGTGCCAAGCACGGATTCAGGAACTAGACTTTCAGGAGCACAGGGGCAAAGATAAAAACGCCGTTGAACGTCTCGAACTTGCCATTGATCAATTGCAAGGTACCGTGGCAAAAGATCCAGAAAATACCTTTCGAGAAACACCTTTCGCTACATGTTACATTTCAAGGTTACGCCAACTGATCAGCAAAACTTAAGAAATGCATACTATTCAATCTAACAAAAATGAAGCACTAAGCCTATGGCTATTTTTTGCTTCTGAGAATGAGTGTGGTTTTGTTGTCGTTACGCCAAGTCTCAAATGGATTTGTCAAGATTTACATAAGGTTTTATCGATAATGAAGGGTCTAAGGTCTACATGTTAAAATCATTGCCTTAGTTTAATCAACTTTGAGTTCAAAGTACGCTTTGTGGCAAGCAACATTATACCATTTTATTGTTTATTAGACAGATACTATTAATATAAATCTCATTAGGCATTGGTTAGTGGATCCGTATTCACCTCCCCATCTTCATCATTACCATGATCTCCATGTGTTTCGTCAATCGATAAATGGTGCCTGGTGTCCTACTTGGTGCAACAACGTATTTGAAGAACACAACTTTATCCGTTTGGAACTGATGAAAAGGATTTAAAGAGAGACGGAAGCGGATAGTTGTCTTGTTGATAAATTGCCGACTTCCCTTACAGGACGACGGCAAGTTGGATTTCATTTTCATTTTCAATTCGTTAGTTGTCCCGATAACAAAATTTATACAATTCTTTGTTCACGAAACCATAGATTCGCGGTATAATATATTGTGATCAATGGAAAGGAATCGTTTGTGATTTCGTGCGTGGTTTGTATCATTTCACGTAAAGCAACACAATTTGACTTATATCAGTGATAATCGGTTCATTAGAAAGTGTTATATAATAGGACAAAATTGTACCAAATGTGGATGTTCGACAAACGTGATAGATACGCCAGCTGTTCTCAAACTACGCTAATTGTTTTTATAAATCTTCGAGTTTGTCCATGGATATTTTCATACCCGAACCTAGACAGTCTAAATGTTGTGCAGGAATGTTTGTAAAATCCACGTAATTCTGAATACTGAAACCAGTCTTTTTTCAAAATAAATCATGTGTCGTTAAAGAATAAGCTATATATTATATAAAAGAAAGGAATTTGTCAGTTTCTCTCCAAAATATCCTTCCACGTGCACATTTTCCCGACGTTTTTCAGTGAACTGAATCATTCGATTCCTCACATTGATCATGCAAGTGGAACAATTAGCTGCTTACATTTCGGTGAGCCAGTCTTGTTATGAGAAGAAGATTCACAACTATGACAAAACTGTTTAGATTATGTGCATAATACAAAAGTAAAACATCAAATTCAACATTGAAGGAATGTGTTATGAGCAGCATAGCGTGATCACTTTATGAAATTATCATATTCGTTTTACAATGTACGTTTTACAATGTATGAAACTCATTCAACCTAGGTTGAAACTCATTCAACCTAGGTTGAATTAGTGTTAAATATTTACATTACGATGCTTATTAATATCACAATTCATGCAATTGTTTACTATTGCCCTGCAGTATGGGCCTAGACTTGATGGAATTACTATTAGAAGGAAACACACATTCTATTTGTTGTTAAAACTGGCCCTGACGTCTTCAAATTCCTAACTCTAAGGATGTTCCTAACTGACATAAATTATTTTCTCAATTCTTTTTTAACTTTTACCTACTATTTTAAATCAAGAGATTTCCTAGCGATTTTCAATGATTATTTTGATACTTTGATTTTAAGAATCGGCCTTGTTATGTTGTTTTTGCAAACACCTAAAGCAGCCATTTATGATATATTGGAAGCCATACGTTATGGATTTTTTTTTCTCTATTCTTTTATCTGACAAGCATGTACTGTGTAAGCAACCAGGATTGTGTAAAGGCGGTCATACATAAAACAGTTTAGATCCGATATCTATAAAGGCATGCAGGACATATTCTATATATACACAACTACATAAAACTGTATGCTACTGATATATTCACTGATTATTGGATTTACTCTATTCATTGTTGTCATCAATTTCCTTAAAAGTACCGATAAGTAACTTCTGAATATATAATATTATATCATTGGACAAGATGTATATTCGATATACTATATCGATAGCAACATTTTGTATGAGTTCCAATCTGGTTTTAGAAAATCCTATTCCACTGACTCCTGTTTAATTCACAAGGTTGATCACATAAGGTCCCAGACGTATAAAGGTATCTTCACTGGAATAGTATTACTAGACCTACATAAGGCCTTTGATACAGTTGATCATGGGATTTTGTGTGATAAACTTGGGGTAATTGGCATTTAGTCGATGGAGTGGTTCACATCATACCTTACTAACAGGAAACAATTAGTTAATATCAATAATGTGAACTCGGATATTTGTAATATAACATGCGGGGTACCCCAAGGGAGTTTATACGGACCCCTTCTTTTTCTCATTTATGTAAATGACATGCGGATCAGTATTGACCCAGGATGCAAATTATTTCTGTACGCAGATGACAGTGCATTTATCTTCTCGCACAAAGACCCAAAAATGATTTCAAAATTTCTATCTAAAAATTTAGAGTCATGTCACGATTGGCTAACTAATAATAAACTATCCTTACATCTCGGAAAACAGAGAGTATTTTGTTTGGCCCCAAAAGGAAACTTTCCAAATTACCTGAAGGGGCTTATTTTCTGATTCATGTTACGGTAATATATTTGTGCCTCAGGTGTGTGTTAAATATCTTGGTAGTATATTGGACAACGTTTTATCTGATGAACAAATTGTCCAAAGTGTTAAAAAAAGTAACCAGAGATTGTGGTTTCTATATAGACCAAGAAAAACCCTGGTGTCGGCACTGATCCAATGTCAGTTTGACTATGCTTCTAGCTGCTGGTTAGAAAGCTTATCCAAAAAACTTCGACAAAAACTTCAAATTACACAGAATAAAGTGGTCAGATTTATTCTGAAACTTAACAACAGGTTAAGAGTCACCCACCGGGAATTGGAACAAGCTAATATGTTAGATGTTGGGGACATAGTGAAACAGCTCCGTTTTAACCATGTCTTTGATATTCAACATAACAAATGTCCATCCTATATGAAAGAATATTTTACTAGAACAGAGAAAAAAACACTTACCAGGAACAGTGATCTGAATTTCAACATTCATTGTATATAAAAGGTGTGGAATCGTCATCGTTTTTCTATAATGCTATCAAAGATTGGAATAACTTGCCACATTCAATAAAATCTGTAGATCACAAGATGAAATTAAAAAATGAGATAAAAAAGTACTTACAAGATTTGGCAAAAACTGATTTTGAGCAAGAATTCATCTTCTAAAGGTAATTTTTATTCTATCCTAGTGGGCGACTCCAAACTTATTCTAATAAATATATGTATTACGAAAATTTTAACTAAAGTACTACTTTGTAATGTTTTAATTTCCAATTTCATTTAAATGAGGCTGCAATTTTGTTCCAGTTATCCTATTTTTGGTGACTACCAATTCAATATGTACCTTTTAAAATGTTACGTAAGATTTTATAACCATCGTCCTCAGTTTTTACTTTATTAATAAGTCATTTTTATATATGTATTATACCCCAAATTGTTATAATTTGATAGACAGATAATAGGATAACATCATCTTGCATTGTGATATGTACAGTAATACATATAATTGTTATTTTAATATTACAAGTGGAAATAGCATCTTGCACAGCCCCAAATATATATATATTCTTATTTTCTAAAGATACGTAAAACATAACTCCATCGTATACTGTCAAATAATATAATATCTTATTTTGATGAAATAATATAACATCATCATATTTGACCAATTAGTACAACTAATTCTATTCATAGTATTACGATAAATTATACCATCTTATATTGTCCAATTATTAGGACCTTTTGTTGTCTAAATAATTAAGATCGTTACTAGAGGACCCCATTGGAAATAAGCTGCCATCCAGCTTTCATGGGATATCCTTGGTAAAAGCTTAGTCATCATGCAGATACATTATATTTATAGTGCTCCAAAATTTGTGATATTAACCTTGATGTGATAATCAAAATACTGTGACAAATCTGTAATTATTATGCAACTGAAATCTGTGATCATATGTGATATTTGTACTTGTATCATGCATTTACCGAATAAATAAATAAATATCATTATATGGTGCATTATGACTGATGACAAAGGACTATATATAGTTTGGGCCGTTTTCGGCCCCCAAATCCATCGAAATTAAAAGTCTTCAATAGAACTCTCAAATGACTATTTCTTTATTTTTGAATATTTCCCCGGTACTTTTATGTTCACATATATTTGTGTTTTCAGTTATGGCTGCCATGGTAACCAGTTAATATTTGCATAAATTAATGAAATTTGAATATTACGTTAATTTTGACAGGTTTTCTCTTCGCCATCGTAGAGCGCTCTCTTGAACAAACTTGATATTTCTCCTAGAGATGTATTTCAGGTGCCTCTACACATTATACACTTATTGCCCTGGTGTGAGGGAGACCTGGAGAGTTGTTTCCCCAAGATAAATCATGTTTCTCAAGGGCGAACCAGTACCTTAACTGTTTGATTATTCCGAAATTTCATCTGTGGAGTCTATGTTATAACAAAAATACAAAATGCAATTGTTGATGTGTGTGGTGTCGTCCGGAACACGTCGGGCGTTAGAAAGTCTAATAAAGAGAGACAACTCGTCCGAACGATGATGTGAAAGGTGTTCCGAGAGGGATACTTGACAGGGAAAATGGATCGCAGGGTGACTCGATGTTTTATAATCCTGTCATTGTGATGTGTTTAAACCAATCAGACACGCTGTAAAATCGATGAGGAATAATAAGATACTTTGATATTAAATTTATTCAAGCATGCGTTCTATTGTTTCCAGGAGGACAATGCAAAATATGACAATATTCACTGAAAAGTCAAATTTATGCAAATTTGAACTTGTTAACATGGCAGCTATAATTAGAAATACAAATAAATATTTTCATGATAATATTTGGGAAGTATTCAAAATTAAAGAAACAGTCGTTTGAAAGTTCATTTAAAGGTTTTTAATTTTGATGCATTTGAGGCCCAAAACAAGCCCAAACAATACATAGTCCTTTCAGATTATTTTATGCCGCCATTTGAAAATTGACACATGCACGTGACTGCACTTTTTAATTTGGTTATATATATGATTTTGTGTCATTTATGTCTATATGTAGAAGGCAACGAAAGCAGCATCATTAAATCACGTTTAAGTTCGATTCTTTTTTTATTGTTTCTTTAAAACGCATAAGTAAATTAAAGAGGATCTATAATAATTGGAAGGAATTCTAAATTCATTAATGTACATACATGTAACACAGATTTTCATAATGTTTGAGTAGGATGGCGCTTGTGGAGAAAATTAAAAAATTGGTTAGTGTTTTGTCTGACTGCATCAGAGATGATCCCTTGTTTGTTCCTGTGTCTGTTATATGACTGAATCAGTCCTCATCACATGTTGGTCTTATGGCTGGATCAGTTCGTATCCTGCGCGGGGTTGTGTATATGAATGTGTTCCTACCTATTACTTTAAGGTATACCAAATTCTGGAAAAGGTCGTTGAAATTTATCTTACATGAGTATTCTCTAGGGAAGAGTTAATGCCAGTGTGCGTAGTAATCAGTGCTGGTGTGTTCTGGTAGGTGTCAGGGTAGAGTTAATGCCAGTGTACGTAGTAATCAGTGCTGGTGTGTTATGGTAGGGTGTCAGGGTAGAGTTAATGCCAGTGTACGTAGTAAGTACTGGTGCGTTATGGTAGGGTGTCAGGGTAAAGTTAATGCCAGTGTACGTAGTAATCAGTGCTGGTGTGTTCTGGTAGGGTGTCCCACTACAACCTTACTTTATACAGGACTTTGAAAGCTACACTACTGTCCAAGATTACGATTCCATTGCAAGCAAAACACTAGAACATTCAACTCAGTGTTTTGCACATACATTTACCCGATTAATTTCATTATGAATAAACCTGTAGCTGGACTGAGCCAGGGACTCAGTTCCTTAGAATGACCGAATTGTGATCGATGGTCAAGGGCTCGAGTCCCGGTCTGGTAAAGCTGATTTTTGTTGTTGTTGCTTAAACATTAGTTTAAGGATAAGGTTGTTGTATATCACATCTTTATCATTTGTCATGGAGGCTACTTTTACATTGACTTTTACAGACATTATTGATAGAAGCTATCATTATGGTGGTAACCTGTCCAATTAATTGTGACAGTTTTGGTAGTGATACATGAATCCTTTAAATGTTATTTCCCCTGCATTCACACAAAGGCAATTACAAGTCGCAAGCTTTTTTTTATATTTTTATTTTTATTTTCAAAAGAGTTTTTTTCAATACAGTGACAATAATAATGGATCAGTAATTCATTCAGTTCATATAATAACCTGTTTGACACCATTCATCTTTCATATCACCACTCATACCATAAAATTTGTACAAAAATAAATTTTGTATCAATATATAAAGATTGCATATGGATAGGTATTATTTCATTTAATATCACACTGTATTGCTATACAGAAGAAGGAAGAACAAAAGGAAAGAAAAAGAAGCTGATAAGAGAACAGAAGTAAGAAGAAGAAAAGAAAAGATAAAGACAGATATCAGAACAAGCATGTCAGAGAAGGAAGTCAAAACCAGAGCTAGATACTAATTAAAGTTAAGTAACAGAATTGTTACTGAATAATTAAGATATCAGACTAAATCATGTCAGGTTTTAGGCAAAATCAAATAATTTCATCCATTTCTTCCATTCATTTAGAAAAAATTGTAGACAAAGATCACTTTTACCATATGAAGTACATTTTTGAACCACATAGTTTTCTTTTATTACATTAGCTAGAGCCATAACAGAGAGAGGACTATGTATAGTTCTGGTTCTGTAGATATATAATTTGATCAGAAAAATAACTTCATTATCAAAATCTCATCTCATCCCAGAACATATGCACGATTGTCTCCCTTTCTCTATTACAGAAATTACAATTAGGATTGTTTGATAAGCCTATTTTATGTGCATAAGAGTTAGTTGTTAGAATATAGTGGTTAATCTTAAATTGTAGCCAACGGAGTTTAGAATTTTGAGCTGATCGAAAAGGAAAACTGTATTTTTTCCATTTCTCTTCATTATAGTCAAAGATATCCCCCCATTTTTGCTGACAAGTTATATATGTTAATATTATTTCTCAGGAGTAAACGGTAAAAGTCCTGCGACCCTTTTTTATCTTTAGGAATAGCTCAAGATTAAGAGGAATAATCGGAAACGTCAATATTCTACTTAGAGATGTAAAAGGCCTCAAGTATTTCATAATACTTTGGTTTTCTCCATAATATTGTAAATAATATGTTATTGTAGCAAACACAATACAGAATTCACTAAATTTAAAGAAGGAAAAAAATCTATTGTCTTTTATTTAATCATTTACTATACCAATTCCTGCATCGAATCATTTTTTGTAGAAAATTGGTTGGTTATTAACAACAGCGATTTGTTAAACCGTAATGGAGTTTGTAAAATATTTTTACATTTAGTTTTCGCTACATGTAGATAATCATTCCCACATTTAGGTAAAAGCTGAACGTTTACATTTTATTTAGAACTCCTGGCCATTTACCAAGTGAGCTAAAGATTCTCCTGATACACCCTAACTTAGAGCTTCTATTTATTTCTTAACATAACCTATTTTTAGACCTCCTACAATGTAAGTTTGTACAATTACCTCTCTCTTAACTCTATCTGTCTTACTATTCCATAAGAAGTTGAAAAGGACTGAGTTAAGTTTTGAAACAAAATAATTGAACTATAATATAAGTAAAGATTTTATTATACTAATTCTCCATAAAGGAATAAGAGATCTACGGCTCCAGCACTTAATAAGATATTTGAGTTTAACAAGCTTTTTTATCGTAGTTCAGTTTAGCTATTTTAAAAAGGTCTACATGGAATTCTAATCCTAATTGATTGAAACGTTCCATTCCCCAGTTTAAGTTCGATTCAGTTCAGGTAAAAGAGTCCTCGCTATATTTTTTACTCCCTATCCATACATTCTGTATTTTATCTAAGTTGATTTTAAGACCTGAAAGTTGTTTATATACATATAGTTCCTTAATTGATTCTCTGAGAGAGCAGTCTGTCCCATCTAAGATAAGGGAAGTATCATCTGCATATTTCGAAAGAAGGATTGGACAATTATTAATATTTATGTCTGTTATACTTCTGTTATTTCTTATTCTAATAGATAAAATTTCTGCACAAAGTATTAAAAAATATAATGCGATTGGGTCCCCTTGACGACAACCGTGTTTGATCTCGAAAAAAAAATCCCGGACTTTTCTTATTCTTCATACTTTTTTAGAGTGTCGGATGCCTCTTTAAGAGTAATAACCCCTTCAAGACTAACAGAATCAACATCACTTAATTTTGAAACATGACAATTCTTCAACAATTCTTCTAAATTTGTATCATCTACTTCATTTTCATTTTATCATGTTCATCTATGTCATGTTCATACATTACTTTGCTCTTCAAGAGATCTTATTGCTTTCTAAACACAATATTCCTTTAAGTTCTGGTGGGTTTTTTATAAGAAGAATACGAAATGGTTTTACCCCTAAATTCCATCAATAGAATTTCTAAAAATAATTGGTCATTGATAACAAATTCTAAATCACCATTTCGAGAATTTGTACATATTCAGTTGGCATACAGGGAGGTAGTATTGAAGTTTAATGTTTGAAATTTTATTATTATCATGTAATAAGAAATTGTTGAATTTCCATAGCCCCTAGCCTTTTTTAAAAATCCGTTAATTTTAAGGTCATTTTCGGAAAAGAATGATCAGATCTATAGCCAGGCTCTAAGCTTGTTTCAGAAGTACTAGGTAAGAGGCTTCCAGATACTAAACTAAAATCTGAGCTCCTCCTCCATGTATACCTTCTGGAGTCAGAATGCTGCTTTCTAAAGACATCAATCAAATCAAAATTTTCCATAATGTCTAGTATTTTTTCCCTGGACTTAGGATTGTTTATCTTTTTGTATGTTTTATCATAATACAACTCAGGCTTAAGGATTAGATTGAAATACCCACATATTATACACTTTTCAGACTTTAACTAATATATTTTCTATTAGATTGAAAAAAGTAGGGTCGTCGATATTTGGACCATAAATAGTTAAAACTGTTATAATTGTACCTTCAATATCCATATTTAATGCTAAAACATTC